GGGGGGGGGGGGGGGGGGGGGGGTGAACCAAAATGTATGCTAAGTGTCAATCATTTTGACTATAGTGATACTGACAGAAGTGGTTTAAATAGATAAGGTTTAAAAAAAAAACTAAATTAATATTCAGTAATATTTTCACTTTGACTGCACTCACACTGTTGTAAGAGAACAAAACTTGAACTGACTGGAGCTGAATAACAACACTATTGTCTGCTGTAAAGCTGCATTCAAAACAATCATTCACACAGTTACTGAACTGAATTCGATCAACACTGAACTAAACCGAGCTGAATAATGACACTATTGTTTACTATAGTGCTTATTTATAGTTGAATTGAGTTTGTTTTATAATTGAGGAGCTCTGCAACACCGACACTGTTATTGAACTTAATTGAATCAACGCTGAGCAGACTTAAGCTACATAATAATGTTATTGTCTACTGCAGAGCTGCATTCAAATCTGTTTCATACAGTAACTGATGAACCATTGACACAGTTATTGAACTGAATTCAATCAACACTGAACTAAATCAAGCTGAATAATGATGCTATTGTCATCTGAAGAGCTGCTTAAAAACAAAATTGAATTAGTTTCAAAATTGATGAGCTCTGCAACATCGACAGTTATTGAACTTTATTGAATCAACATTAAACTGACTAAATAACAGTGCTATTGTCTTCTATAGAGCTGCTTATAGCCGAATTTAACTTGTTTAATGATTGATGAACATTGGCACTGTTATTGAACGGAATTACCTATTATTGAATTAATATTGAACTTGAGCTGAATAATTACACTATTGTCTTCTTTGGAGCTTGCAACACTGACACTTATTGAACTAAATTGAACACTGAACTAAATGAAGGCTGGACAATGACACAATTACTTTCTGTAAAGTCTTCTTTACAGCTAAAATCTAATTTGTTTCATAAGTGATGACTTTTGAAACATTAACACTTTTATTTTCCTGCTTTGAAGCAATTTGTATTGTATGAAGCGTTATTTTTTATTAGAATATTTTGTCATATATTTTTCTTTATTTACTTTTTTTTTAGATCGAAAACCAAAACAGGAGTATCAGCCTCAAAGAGGAAATTTCAGCACTGAAGCGGCAGAACAACGAGTTATTACTGGTATGGCTCCTATTTGAATCTGAATAGATCATTAAAAAATTGTGTATGATGTAATATAATGTGTTTTTGTTTTACATTCTTCTTTCAGCAAAACCAGAAGTTGAAACAGGAGCTTTTGGAGTCCCAAACTAATATTGCGTTCTTGCAGAGTGAGCTGGACTCTCTCAAGAGTGATCTCACAGACCAGAGCATCAACTTTGAACGGTATGTGTGCGTCACAGTTGACTTAGTTATTGATGAATATGTGATAAACCCTTTGGATTCGGATCTTCAGACCAGGAATTTTTAAGAAGCCCATCAAATATGTACTCTGAAGTCTCTTCTGACGGTCTCTTCTGACTCAGTCTGACACTCCCAGCTGGATGTGTAATGTCAATACCGTGTCAATAATGAAAGAATGCAGACTCTCGTTCCCCTGCGTGATGGCTCTGAGCAGCTGTAAACCGGTTTTGTGAGTGTTTGCAGTGCTGACATCATCAGAGCAGGATATCCTGGTGTCACGCGTCACACTGCACAGGAATGTCTGGACCTTGTCTCCTAGTAACTACAAAAAAAGAGCGTAGTTTACATGTATTATAATGAGTGTTACAGTGTAAAAACGTTGTCAGGAAACCCAAATATTTAATGACTGACTACATTAGGTGAAACCAACAAAAGCTATGTTTAACAGACAGATCCGAACAGTAGAAACCTGCTTAAGAAATCAACTGAAATTGGTAACACTTTAGTCTTGGAATAAAATCCTGACTGTTAACTTGTTGCTTATTAGCATGCATATTACTAGCATATTGGCTGTTTATTAGCACGTATTAATGCCTTATTGTGCAGGATCATATTTTAGGTCCCTTAATCCTATGTTCAGGTTAATCCTAAATATGTTGATCTGTGTGTTTGTACAGAGATGAGGCTCTTATGAAGTGTTTCTCTGAGGAGAGAGGTAGCCTGGAGAGACAGATCGAGGTGCTTCAGTGAGTTGAACACACACAGCACGTGAAACTACTGCTAACGTAGGAACTCTTTTTACTAACACCAGATATGGCTTCAAAAATGTTTTCACTTAATGCTGTTTCTAATGGCAATGAATGTCTAATCAAAACACACATGTAAACTGGAGATAGAGTAGCAACCAGATGCACTGACATTACAAGGAACATTGAGACTTATTGAAGTTAAAAATGGAGGAAAATTAATTCAATATTTACACATCTTACAATTTTGATGCCAAGCATCTTTAAATACAATCAGTTCCAATTTATTTTTTTTTGTTATTCTATCTCCATTCAAATTTATTTACACATCCAAAATCATCCAACAATGAAAATTACCTCATGATTTACTCACCCTCAAGCCATCCTAGGTGTATATGACTTTCTTCTTTCAGATGAATACAATCAGTTATACTAAAAAATGTCCTGGCTCTTCCAAGCCTTATAATAGCAGTGAATGGGTGTTGAGATTTTGAAGCCCAAAAAAGTCCATCCATCCATCATAAAAAGTGATCCACACTGCTCCGAGGGGTTAATAAAGGCCTTCTGAAGCGAAGCGAAGGGATGCGTTTGTGTAAGAAAAATATCCATATTTAAAACTTTATAAGCCATAATCTCTAGCTTCCACTAACTATCGAACACGCGTTCACGCAACCCAATCTCATGAAAGTGGGTATAAATAGTATGCCAAGTAAAAACAAAAACTCGTGGTATGGATATGCAAAAATTTACTTTGGCGTGTATATGCTACGCGATGGGTAGGTTTAGGGTTGTGGGGTAGATGCGTATCATATGTATGCGAAAACTGCGTATCATATGCACGCCAACAACATCCATCCATCATAAAAAGTGCTCCACACTGCTCCGAGGGGTTAATAAAGGCCTTCTGAAGCGAAGCGAAGGGATGCGTTTGTGTAAGAAGAATATCCATATTTAAAACTTTATAAGCCATAATCTCTAACTTCCACTAACTATCGAACACGCGTTCACGCAACCCAATCTCATGAAAGTGGGTATAAATAGTATGCCAAGTAAAAACAAAAACTCGTGGTATGGATATGCAAAAATTTACTTTGGCGTGTATATGCTACGCGATGGGTAGGTTTAGGGTTGTGGGATAGATGTGTATCTTATGTACGCGAAAACTGCGTATTATATGCACGCCAAAAATGTGCATATCATATGCATGCCAAAGTCAATTTTTGCGTATCAATACCACGAGTTTTTGTTTTTATTTGGCGTACTATTTATACACATTTTCATGAGACTGGGCTCGTTCACGAGAGAGTGGTGTTCCAGCGGGTGAGGTAGGACGTAGGCGTAGTGTTAGCTCCGGTGAGAAGTGAAGAATGCGGAAACACAGAGCAGAGAGCAAAACAAAACACTGGTCACGAATGAGAAGCACAAAACGAGGATTTGTAAAGAAAAGCGTCAGAGAATATCGATATAAGCCAAGAGGAAACTGGTTTTCCTTTGCTGTAAACAAAACTTGGTTCTTGCGAGACTAGCATTTTCTTACCGGAGCTTATGCTACACCTACGTCATCCGCTGGAACGCCAATCTCTCGTGAACGCGTGTACGACAGCGCAAGCTAGAGAGTATGGTTTATAAAGTTTTAAAATATGGATATTTCACTCACACAAATGCACTGCTTCATTTCAGAAAGCCTTTATTAACCCTCCGGATCCACGTGGAGCACTTTTTATGATGGATAGATGCACTTTTTTGGGCTTGAAAATCTCGGCCCCCCCATTCACTGCCATTAAAAGTTTGGAAGAGCCAGGACATTTTTTAATATAACTCCGATTGTATTCGTCTGAAAGAAGAAAGTCTTTTTTGGTGAACTATCACTTTAAATGAAGTTTCACACTTGTTAACTCATCATCTTGTTCCATTTTCACACTGTACACACTTTACCCTGTGCTAATATTTTTGTTTTTATTTGGCGTACTATTTATACGCATTTTCATGAGACCGGGCTCGTTCACGAGAGAGTGGTGTTCCAGCGGATGAGGTAGGACGTAGGCGTAGTGTTAGCTCCGGTGAGAAGTGAAGAATGCGGAAACACAGAGCAGAGAGCAAAACAAAACACTGGTCACGAATGAGAAGCACAAAACGAGGATTTGTAAAGAAAAGTGTCAGAGAATATCGATATAAGCCAAGAGGAAACTGGTTTTCCTTTGCTGTAAACAAAACTTGGTTCTTGCGAGACTAGCATTTTCTTACCGGAGCTTATGCTACACCTACGTCATCCGCTGGAACGCCAATCTCTCGTGAACGCGTGTACGACAGCGCAAGCTAGAGAGTATGGTTTATAAAGTTTTAAAATATGGATATTTCACTCACACAAATGCACTGCTTCATTTCAGAAAGCCTTTATTAACCCTCCGGATCCACGTGGAGCACTTTTTATGATGGATAGATGCACTTTTTTGGGCTTGAAAATCTCGGCCCCCCCATTCACTGCCATTAAAAGTTTGGAAGAGCCAGGACATTTTTTAATATAACTCCGATTGTATTCGTCTGAAAGAAGAAAGTCTTTTTTGGTGAACTATCACTTTAAATGAAGTTTCACACTTGTTAACTCATCATCTTGTTCCATTTTCACACTGTACACACTTTACCCTGTGCTAATAATAATCAAGTTCATGGGTAGTCACGGTTCAAGATTGCACAATGCAAATCTGTTATTGAAATGGCTGTTTGAATAACATATGCGTGCCACATACATTCACTCTCATTGTCTTGCATCTTTTTAAAGCATACTAAAAAACAAAGACAAATCAGAAAACAGTATTTGATTATGTTAGTGTTTTGCTCTTCTACAACTTCTCTTCTTGTTCAAATGCTCAGGGCTGTGCTTCCCAAAACCTTAAGTAGACTGTAGAAATTTTTGACACCAGTGCTCTCTACAATACAATCTCAGTTAATTTACTCCTATAGCCCAGTTTTTGTCTGATCTTTGTAATCTACACTAATTAAATGAATAAAGCTCCCAGTCTGGGTTGAATGAAACGATTAAACATTTTCAGAACATAGTTTTTAGAACTATTACAAGAAAATAAATCCAAGGCACTTCTTACAGTCCAAAAAAGTTAAAAAGCCTTTTTTCACATTATGGCCATCTCAACAGAAACATAAAAAAGTGAATAAAACTCTGCACACTGATGCATTTCGACCTTCAGCCTTCCTCAGAGCGTGTCAGGTATAAAATGAATAACAGGTGTAGCTTTAATTAATATGTGACATTGGGAGAAACCAAAAAAGCCATTACAGGGGGACATATAGCCTTGTTAGCCATTACGCAGTATAAAGGAGATAAAGAGAGAGACAGAGAAAATAATAATAAACTAATAAAATAATAATAATAATAATAATAAAAGAAAAAAAACAGTAATAAAGATTTTGAAGTGTTTTAAAATTATTAAATATATTGAATATTTGATCATTAATGTTGCAAAATTAACATTATCATCATCATTTGTGAAAGTTTTTTAATGTATTTTTTATATTTTTAAAATACATATAGCCATGTAGCCTATACATATATATACAGTGGGTACGGAAAATATTCAGACCCCCTTAAATTTTTCACTCTTTGTTATATTGAACACCATTAACCTACTTATGAAATCACAGCTTCATATAAGTGTGAAAAACCTTGCAAACACTGTCAATTTGAAGAGACACACTGAGTATCCATCCATCTGTCCAGTTTGTAGGAGTCTTGACTTTCTAAAGGCGTAGACTGTACCAGAGTAAAATGAGTTCTTTGTAGAAGTCCAACATGTTTAATTTAGTTTTTTTTTGCTTTATAGTTGTCAGATTTTGTTGCAACATTATATTTCTGCTGTTCGTCTTGTCCAGGGCAGCAAACAGAAAGCTCCATGACAGTAATGACAGTCTGCGTGCGGCGCTGGAGAGCAGTCAGAGCAAGAGTAAGACTCAGGTAAGAGCCTCTTGTGTCCAGAGCCTTTCTTTACTCTAGATGCTGTTGTAAAATGGATTAAGCTGTTTGAGAGCGATGTTTGCTGATCAGGCTTATACTTTGATGGCTGTGTGCTTTTTAAGAGGTGTGGATTAGGGTTCTAGTTTACTGTATTTACTGTATTTCTGCATATCCATTAGGACAGACATGATCTTTTTGTCTTACAGCGGGTTAGTGGGATCTCACCAGCAGTTTACATGAGCACCAGAAAGAATGTCTGTTCCTCTTATTTTGATCGGTAAGATATAAAGTTAAGCTCTGCATGTACTGATATTGATCACACTTTCTAAACTCTTAACATTAGTAATTAAACCACTGCGTTAATTTAGTCCACATATATAGACTCCATTTAAAATATTTACTGATGCACCAATATTAAAAGTGTGGCTAATAAAACAAGCTAAAAAAATAGTTTTCATTTTATGTAATAAATTTCTATTTTACTTTTTTTTTTTTTTTTTTAAGTTAATTTTAGTCATTTTGTTGTGTGTTTTTGTCATTATTACTATTTTATTTAATATGTTTATAGTGTTTTTTTAGTTTCAGTTATTTTATACTAAACAAAAATGGGAAATCAGGGTTAACACTGACTGATATATAAATAAATATATATATATATATAAATAAATCTCACACATCATGTGATAATCAATATGGCATAACCAATATATTGTATTTAATGCAGAAGTTTGAAATATAGAAAATCAATTGATAGAATGTTTGCCATTCTAAATTGACAGTGATGAGGAATATCTGCATACTGAATTATGATTGGTTTCTTCTTTCTTACATCTAAGTAGCCATATAACATCCTTTACATGGCAAAGAAAGTGTCACATTGATTCTGACAGAAAACCAACTCTGATGCAGGTTTTCAATTACATAGAACTAAATTCTAAAATGAATGCACAACTATTTCCTTCTAGTTTCTAGTAGCTGTGTTGTTGATGCACTGAATACTTCCCCAGGTACTGTAACACATGTGTGGACGAGGACTTTGATCAGTTTGGGCTGATGGAGGGTCTGCGCAGACCGAGCTGTGATTCTCTGGCTCTGGCCCTGTGCGACCCCATGCGCAGACGCAGCTGTGAGGAAGACAGTCTTCCCGACAGCTGCGTGGACAGCGGCATGTCTACCCTGCGCTCAAATAACGGCTACGATTACGAGCATGAGAGAACGTCCTGTATGCAAGCAGAGGACAGCAACACCACTGTGTCTGGAGACACTTCGGATACAGAGGTATGATATCAGTGAATCAGACTGATCAAACACTACAGACAATCTCACTTTTCTTCAGAATGGTTTTCATTTCATTTATAACATTTTACACTCTTGTGGTAAAGATGTACATTTTAGCATACTTTAAAAAGAGTACTTGTTATTAAAATAATGTACTTTAAAATAATATACTTCAGTGTGAATTAAATGTAATGTTTTTAAGACACTTACAGTAATAGCAATGATAGTTGCAATTAAATGAAAATATATTATAACTTTAAATTTAGATTAAATGCAATTAGCTGAACTTAAGTACATATTTATATGTGATTTATTAATTCTATTGTCTGCTGAGATATGGTTAAAGTGTACTGCTGAATGTACTGACAAGCATTTATGTTACTAAAATATACTTTAATGTAATTTCTATTGAAACATGTATGTCTACATAGTATTACATACTTGTGTTTATTTGTAATTACGGATTTGTAATGATGAAGATGCAATTTAGTACATTTAAAACATATTAAAAAAGGAAATATCAAATACTACAGTTAAAATGATAATCAAGTACTATACACATGTGTATGTTAGTCAACATATCAAAATAAAATAATATAATGAGTGCTTCCTTTAAGCACAACAAAAGATTATTTAAAAATAATTATTTAAAATATTTTTTAAGTAAAACTTAAACTTTCACACTATTAAAATGTCCACTTAAGTGTGTTCAGAAACATAGTCATAAAAGTATGCTCTCTAAGTACACATTTATTTTATTATATTAATATTATCTGCAAGTAGTTTTTTAAAATGACTATACTTTTAAGATTTTAAATACACTACAAGTTTACATTAAGTACAATTAAGCACTTTTTTTGCACAAGGACTGAGTGTCTTGAACGTCTTAGTGAAGAAAAATAAAAGTAGTTTTCTATCTACACATTCCAAAATCATCCCTAATAAGCTATTTAAAAATTAGTTCTAATTGGTTAATCAATTAATTGTTCTATTCATGGAATGAACAGAAGTCTCACACACAGTAGATCTTCATTAGCAACAGTCAGAGACTTTCTTCAGGTAATTGTTCTGTACGACTGTGATTATTTGCTAACTTTTTTACATAATTAACTTTTTTAACACTGACTCTCAAGAATAAAAGCTCTTGAGAGAAAAAAAGGCAAATATGAACAGATAGTGAATAATTCAAAGGCATCTCTATGTATGCTTAACTTGCTGTCATTTCAGTATCAGTGAGAATGGCTCAGATTCCTGGTTTAAAATAAGCTGTGTGTGCTCACAGGTTCTGGAAGTGCGAGAAGAGGCTGTGATTGGGTCAGACAGCGAATCCATTCTGAGCTGGACTCCATCACAACCTGCTCAGAAAAGCGATGTTACTGCATCAGGCAAGAAATGTCTCTCTGCCATTATCACAGAGGTACTGGATTCACCTGCCAGAAGTATCATAAAAGCTTAAAATTGACCCACGGCATTCTAATTCTTGAACTCAAACAAATCTCAGTTCTGAAGCACAAATGTGTGTGTATGTGTGCAGAGAGAGCAGGATGTGTTGGCGGTGACTCAGCCTCCATCGGAGAAAGCTTACAGGATTGTGCTGGCGGGAGACGCTGCGGTGGGAAAGTCTAGCTTCCTCCTTCGCCTCTGTAAGAACGAGTTCAAAGGCAACACTAGCGCCACACTGGGTAAGACTTTTCTAACACTTTACCACACTTGAACCATCTTGAATATAATCTCAAACTCTCACAAAGTTTGTGAAATCATTTGTGTCTGTTTTCTTGCAGGGGTTGATTTCCAGATGAAAACCTTGGTGGTGGACGGTGTTCCAACAGTGCTGCAGTTATGGGACACAGCTGGACAGGAGAGGTAAGATCCCAGAGGCCAAATTCAAAATGAAACACACAACTAAATCATATGTATTATCCATGGTATGAACTTTAAAGGCTGTGACACACCAAACAGACATCAAAGAACACGCGTCAGTGAAATTGACTGTGTCATTGCCTTGCGTTGACTGTGTCTGGGCCAAAACGTTGTGCTTGAACACAGCAAAAATTACAGCAACTAGCACCTACTTCTGTCAGGACCACTATCGACAAAGATGATTGACAATTAGCATACAGTTTGGATTGGTGGTATGGTTCTGTTCTGGGCAAGAACTCCCTGTGCATCCATGCAGCCTAGCATGGATGAGAGCAGGGAGAGCAGTGATAACCCCCAAGGGTAAACAGAACAGAACTAACATAAATGTATTGCAGATATCGTTAAAGTTCAATAATGTTATGTACACATTTTAGAATTAGTCTGATTCAAAGGAGAATCAGAAGGCTGAATCCTGACTGACAGAGGAGGAGTTGGGGATGGAGGAGGGTAATTAGCTATTGAGCAATGCGAAAACTGATGATAATACTGAGGGACCTTATATATGAATGCTTAGATAGGTGTCGTATTCCTATAGGTTGATGGGGATCAGCTGAAAGTCAGCTGATGCGAGCTTGACTAACGTGACCTGCCAGAACTAACACTACGCTTGATTTCTTTTCAACTTTGACTTCAATGTCATTTTAAGTGTGTAAGTGTATTTGTGTGAACAGGGTCCATGCATTTCTGGAACAGTGGGGCTTGATTAACTATCAGGTGGATTCAGAGAGTCGGCCCACTCCAATGGGGCCTCCACCCACCTCACACTTTCATGTGCTGGCAGATACTCCATCAAGTCTGGTACCACTACAGCCTAAGGCATCCCAGGTAAAATAAAGCAGTCTTTTCCTGCTATAGGTGTGATCCACACAGATTTTCAAACTCAACACCTTTAAAGGGAGCTGAAGGCATTAACATATTAACTAGGAAAAAAGTTAAATAAAATATTTTATTTGATTGACAGCCCTAAAAAAAAATTCTGTGTGAGTTTTTGTCTTCACTTTAGATTATCTAAGCTGTTTTTTGTTGTTGTTCCCACCAGACTTCATCCTCTCAGCAGATGCTCTCATTCCCAGACAAAGTCAAGGACAAACCAGCCGACTTGCAGAACTTTGGGTTGAGGACAGATGTGTACAGTAAGAAGAGCGGCCCAGCTAAAGTAAGAGCGCCCATCACAAATGGGGTAGAGAGAAAATTAGAATGTGTCAGGTTGAAAGGAATTTTGGAATATGAAGTATGAAGATGATTCTGAGTGCTATGAGAAAGATTTAGGACCTTCTTCTGTCATTCCACAGACTAAAAATGCTGCCAGTGCCACTCGGGAATGGACAGACCAGGAGACACTGCTACTGCTGGAGGTACAATGTAAACATATAAAATGTCCAAGACTCTCTGAGTCCACTAGTCAAAATGCTTGAGTTTAGCATTTTTTTCAATTTGATACGATTTTTAAACATGATTTACACTACCGTTCAAAAGTTGGGGTTCGGTAAGATTTGTAATATTTTTGAAAGAGGTATTTTATGCTCACCAAGGCTGCATTCATTTGATTAAAATACAATAAAACCATAATATTATGAAATATCATTACAATTTAAAATAATGTTTCTATGTTAATATATTTTAAAACGTAATTTATTCCTGTGATGGCAAAGCTGAATTTCAGCAGCCATTACTCCAGTTTTCTGTCACATGATTCTTCAGAAATCATTTTAATAAGCTGATTTGGTGCTCAAGAAACATTTACAAACAAGTAACAAACAAGTATTATCAAAGTTTTCAACGGCTGTGTTGATTAATATTTTTGGAAACTGTGGTACATTTTTTCAGGATTCTTTGATGAATAGAAAGTTTTTAATGAGAATTCTTAGAATTTTTTGTAAAAGTCTTAAATGTCACTTTTGATCCTTTTAGTCCTTCAAAAGTATTAATTAAAAAAAAGTCTTACTGACCCCAAACTTTTGAACAATAGTGTAAACTTGACTTTTTCCACTTAACAATTCCTGTTTGTTTTCAGGGTCTAGAGATGTGTAAAGATGACTGGAATAAAGTATCGGAACACGTGGGCAGCCGCACACAGGATGAGTGCATCCTCCACTTCCTGCGTCTACCGATCGAAGACCCCTACCTGGAGGATAGCTCCTCCTCCCTAGGCCCGCTGGCCTATCAGCCAGTTCCTTTCAGTCAGGCGGGGAATCCTGTCATGAGCACTGTGGCGTTTCTAGCCTCTGTGGTCGACCCTCGAGTGGCTTCTGCTGCAGCTAAATCAGCACTTGGTGAGAAGATACAATATTAAAGTGATAGTTCACACATAAATAAAAACCATAATTTAATTAGACTTGAAATGGCTGTATCTGAATGATTTCTTTTTGTCTTTTTTTCTGTATGCAACAATAGTGAATAAGAATCGGGTGCTGTCAAGCCCCAAAAAAGACTTGTTTTGTATTTTTTTACATGAGCACAATGTTTCTCTTTCTTTTTCTCAGAGGAGTTCTCTCGAATGAAGGAGGAGGTACCAGCTGCATTGGTGGAGGCTCATGTGCGTCGAGTGGAGGAGGCGGCCAGAGCAAGCGGGAGGCCAGACCCTCTCTACGGCCTGGAGGGCAGCGGCATCGCAGGAACCGGCCTCGAGGATTCTGACAAACCCTGTAAGAGAACAAACATTTTCACTTGTTTTATGCTTTTTGGAGCATAGTGAGAGACAAAATAACTGTGTATGTTTGTTTTTCAGCTGAGGATGGAAGTGAGGAGAATAAGAGCAGTGATGGTCAATCTAGCCAAGATAAAAGAGAAAATAAGGTAACTGTGCATAAAAAAACAAAACATGTACTGTGGAGTCCAAAAGTCTGAGAATGCATTGAAAATCTGGGATTAAAAGTCTGATTCAAACCAAGAAGTAAACAGAAAGTTCTAGGATAATAATGTATAGGCCTACTTATATATACTACCATTGAAAAGATTGGTGTTGGATATTTAAAGGTTTTTGAAAAAGTTCTTACAAAGTCATTTCTTTCATAAAAATACAGTAAAATCGGTAATATTGTGAAATAAAGAAAATTCTATTTTAAAACGTAATTTACTCCTGTGAATTTTCAGCAGTCATTACTCCACTCTTCAATGTCACACAATCATTTAGAAATCATTGTAATATGCTCATTTAGTATTCAGGAAACTTTTCATGTTATTATCAATGTTGAAAACAGTTGTGCTGTTAAATATTTTGTGGAGATTTGTGATATTTTCCTAATATTAACACGTGTGACATTCCTATGTCTGACATTTTAGGAGAGCAAAGATGGAGCCAGTGAGGAGGAAGAAAAACAAGGAGAGAACGGCAAGAAAGAGGAAGAGAGAGTGAGAGAAGGAGAGACAGACAGAGAGACAGAGAAAACAGACTCAGAAATGGGTGCGTTTTACAGCAAGAATAAAAATAGGACTTAGAACAAGACATCAGATTAAATTTAAATGCAAAGATTTAGAGTTGCAGATTCGTAGTGTGATGCAGATATACTAATGCAGTATTTGTGTAAGTGCAGTACAAAAACATCTGCCATTGTGTGTGCTGTTTTCATAAACTGTTAAAGTTACAAAATGCATCGATAAAATGTCTTACCTGAACTCTTTGGGATCTCTGCAGCTGATGGCGAGAAGGAGAAAGAACAGAAGGAGGGATCAGATGAGGGTCAGAGGGATGGAGAGAGTGAGGGGGAGAAGAAAGCAAAGGTGGAGAGAGATGTAGGAGAGGGAAACCTGGCCACCGCCGCTGCTTCAGCGCTCGCTGCTGCTGCCGTGAAAGCTAAGGTGTGTGAAAAGGTGACATCACGGTGAGAATACAAACAGCTTTCCTGCAAACTAAACACTTAACGCTGTATTCTTTGATTTCTTTACATTCAGCACTTGGCAGCAGTAGAGGAAAGGAAGATCAAGTCTCTGGTGGCTCTGCTGGTAGAGACCCAGATGAAGAAACTGGAGATCAAACTCAGACACTTTGAAGAGTTGGAAACCATCATGGACAGAGAGAGAGAGGCAGTAAGGCAACACTTTTAACTATTAAAACTATTTTAAATCAATCTGTTGCCTAAAAGAACAATTCACAATAATTTCGATCAAAACCTGTATGATTTTATTTCTATCATGCACTTGAAAAAAATAATTTTCTTAAAATATTTCCAGTAAAAGTTGAAACATTCTTAAAACAAGAATTAGAATACTTTAGTATTTGTTATCTAATAATTGATAAAGAATTACATTTATTTGTATTTTACACTTTTTAGGTTCTGTTCTGGGCAAGAACTCCCTGTGCATCCATGCAGCCTAGCATGGATGAGAGCAGGGAGAGCAGTGATAACCCCCAAGGGTAAACAGAACAGAACTAACATAAATGTATTGCAGATATCGTTAAAGTTCAATAATGTTATGTACACATTTTAGAATTAGTCTGATTCAAAGGAGAATCAGAAGGCTGAATCCTGACTGACAGAGGAGGAGTTGGGGATGGAGGAGGGTAATTAGCTATTGAGCAATGCGAAAACTGATGATAATACTGAGGGACCTTATATATGAATGCTTAGATAGGTGTCGTATTCCTATAGGTTGATGGGGATCAGCTGAAAGTCAGCTGATGCGAGCTTGACTAACGTGACCTGCCAGAACTAACGCTATGCTAGATATTCTGTGCCTGCATGAAAGGAAATAACTCTCCAGACCAACAGGTGGCAGAAGTCTGTATTCATCGTTCAAAAAGGGAAACCGAAACTAACCGTTATTTTCTCTTTTTTGGACCATCCTCTGTAAACCCTAAAGATGGTTAATTGTGTGTGAAAATCCCAGTAGATCAGCAGTTTCTGAAATACTCAGACAGCCCGTCTGGTACCAACAATCATTCCACGTTCAAAGTCACTTAAAGGGCACCTATTATGCCCGTTTTTACAAGATGAAATATAAGTCTCAAGTGCCCCCATAATGTCTCTGTGCAGTTTCAGCTCAAAACACCCCACAGATCATTTATTAAATAATTTTGAAAATGCCTATTTTGAGTGGAAGCAGAAACAGGCTGTTTTCGTCTCTTTAAATGCAAATGAGCTGCTGCTCCCCGCCCCCTTTTCTGGAATAGAGCTGTGCCTTTACAGCTCATACCTCTGATACTCTGCTAAAAAAACATCTGTTTGGTTTTGATTATCATGTATTTTAAAGCCACATCAGTTTAAACTGTATGTGACTAATATAAACTAATATAGGGTTTTATGAGCACACACATACACACAGAAGAAGTGTGAGTACTAAACTAAGCTCTCTTTCATGTCTAATTGCGCTTAAACTGTCAAATACACAGAAGTTTGTGTTTAAAACACACATAAGTTACAAAAACACAGTCGGTTATGCCTGTGAAGGTAAACAGCTGGGAAAGAAATCGCTTGTGTATATTAGATCTGTGTATTAAGAGATAGCAGTGTAATATACAGTACCTATACTGCTGTCTAAGCTGTTAATATGAGTCAAACAAAAAATAAAAACTGTAAATCACTCACTGCTCTTGAATGAATCATTTCTGTAGCTCTAATAAGAATACATTTCTTATTTGAATGCTGCTTTTAAATGCTCTAGTGTGAAGATAAACATGGCGGATTGTGTGCGGCTCACTGAGGGCGGGGTCTCTGCTAATACAGCAGTGTCCGTCAACAGTCGTGGGTGGGGCTTGTAAAATGTCACATTTTACAGATTCTGCGAACGGCTCTTTCTGAGACACTGCTTATGATTTATGGGGATTAAACGAAAGGAACGGGTGGATTTTTATCATTATAGGGTGGTTGTGTACACACTGCCAACACACATTTATGTTCAAACAACATGTAAAAGTGAATTTTGCATAATAGGTGCCCTTTAAATCTTCTTTCTTCCCCATTCTGATGCTCTATTTGACCGATTGTCTTGAACCAAGACTGCATGCCTAAATCCATTGAGTTTCTGCAATGATTGGCTGATTAGATATTTGCCTTTACAAGCAGTTGAACAGGTGTATCTAATAAAGTGGTTGATGAGTGTGTTTAATGATTACAAATCCCCTGAAGTTCCATCATGAACCTTTAGGGGCACAGTTGTACAGTTGACAAAACAGTGACAAAATGTCTTTGTGCTTTTAAACAGTGTCTTAAAATAATGTTCTGAACCAGTACTGCCACCTTGTAAAGTGCAAAAAAAAACCCTCAAGGTGCATGTGCAAGCTGAGCAAATGAATTAATGAATTCACATCACATGCAATTTATGAATACCCTAGTGTGTGCGTAAAAACAAAAGTGTACTTTGGTCTAAAGGTTGACTGCTCGGGTATCTCTTTTATAGGTTTCGGAGCATTGCTAAGTCTTACTTCAGGAGGGCCGATGGAGTTCTCCTACTCTATGACGTCACGTGTGAGAAGAGCTTTCTGAATGTGCGTGAATGGGTCGATATCATTGAGGTATTTCCTACACAAAAACAGTCATAATTCAGTTATGCAGACTTGACCATTATCTAATCTCTCTAGGAATCAAATGGGCCATTTGTACCTGGTGCTACTATACCCTTAAGACTGTTGCTCAGCTGGACAGGCCTAGTTGCTGAACAGTCTTATAGTTTTTCTCAATTGCTAACACACTATAACTGATTCATTTGGCACAATTTCCCAAACCATTCATACAGTTCCTGAAACAAAGACACGTTTCTCAAAACTTTTAACACATTTCACCTGTTTTCACACACGCTCCAATTTGCTCAGTGTTTTCAGCTCAACTCTACACAAGAACGGCATCATTTTGCACAGGTTTAACCATATTCTCATTTAGAAAACACAAACTCACAATATAACTACCTCAAGAATCACAAAATGAACACAAATAGCACACATTTATCCATGTGTGAACATTAAGTAGCAAAACTGATGACACACCGGTCAGAATCTCAGGATGATATAAAAAGGAGCACAGGTGATTATGTGATTTGGAAAATGAATCCTACTAGTGGGAGACAAAGAGGAGGGGAAAAGAAAACTGAAGGGGATGGGGTCAAAGGACATTTATTCCTGATGAAATACACAGCACTATAGTTGATCATGTTCTTGTGCATGAGGACAGCTGGCCTACAGGCTCATCTACAGGCTTTCAATACTACTTACAGTTAAAATATAATGACAGAACAGTAGCAGTACTTCAGCTGAGAGTATTTAATTTATATATATATATATATGTACAGTAAATACTGAAGAACAAGTTGTACACCCTCAATCTCATAACTGCTGAACTGATTTGTAGCAAAGTACAGTACTTCTTACATGTACTGTATTTTTGCAGAACTAAGCGATGACTCTATATTCTGTTGTGTTCATGTGCAATTCTTTGGTATTTGACCTTTTCCTTTCTAGTGCTTTTCATCTACTGTACTGTAAGATCTCGTTACAGCAGTGTAACGAAAATAATATTTTCTTACTGTAAAGCTTATTGTTGAATTTCACTGTATCTGCTATATGTACTGTAACATGTATCTGCTCTAATTATGTTGCATACTGTAATATACATTGAGCTGTAAAATTATATCTCATCACCAAAATAAGGTTTTTGCAACAGTGTTATGAATTGATCTCATTAGTGTGTAAGACTATGTTGTTGTGTGTGTGTTTCTGAGGGCTTGTGTGTCATGTCTGAGGGTGAAGTTTTTTTCAGCAAGATTGAATAGTTTTGAGTGGAGAGCTTCATTTTGACCTGAAAATAGGAAGTATGGGGAATTGGGTGAGAAGTTATGGATTTGTGTTTAGAGTTTCGAGAAAAGGAGTCACAATTTCAAGAAATGTGTCTAAGCGATTGGGGAAAACAGTAAGATAATGTGTTCAAGTGATTTCTGATTAAAGTGTATTTAGCTTTGTTTTCATAAATGATCTAGGTGAAGTGGAGAGGAATCTTGTAAACATGTCTACATACATTTATTTTGATGTGAGAAGCAGTCTCCCACATTGCGTGGATTCACGCCTGGGGGAAACTCTGACATTTGTGCAGCTGCACAAACCTATGGCAAATCAGCCTGTCAAATGAGCAGAGCCGACTGCCTGTAAAAGTTGAAGCTGAATACCATTTTATCAGAAGCAAGAAAATCTTCTCCTCACTAGACTCTAAAGAAGAAAATAAGCCTTCCTGATAGTCGCAGAAGAGAAATGGGGTGACCCCCGCTGCATAGCCACCCGGCTGACGCCAGACCTGGTCTGAACACCAAGCTCATACACCAAGCTGTATGTGCCCTCACCAATGACGATTGGGACCTCGTCGTGAAGTGGTCAGCTCTGGATAAACCCGCCCATAGCCAACTTGAGGAACAGTTTCTGTAGCCAGGGTGCCACCAGATAGCCCCCATCAGAGACCTGCCCCATTCTTTCCTAGAAATTCACAATTAAGTTTCTTTTCCATCTCCGCTTCCCCCATTTCCGTGATGGCTCTGAACTGAAGGGGTATGAGACGCCTCTCCCCTCAAAGAGGCATCTTTGCATTCCTCACCCCCAGGATGGATGCTGACAAGACAGCCTTCCTCAACTCCCCAGTATTCCTCACAGGTTGCAAGCCATGCACCACTTCCTGTCATATCGGTCTAGCTCGGCTGCTGCTTCAAATCCCCAGAGGGCCTCATTAACTCAGCAGCCTGCCAAGCCAACATCAGTGACTGCTCAGGTTCGACCTAAAGCAGAGCCTGAGTTCAGACAGTGTTTCTGAAGCATTTCAGTGTTTCTTACCACTTTCCATGAGCACCAGGGTTCCCGTCTAAGATAAAGTTGGACCCTGAGTCACAGCCGAAGCACTCCTGATGCATAAGGGTTAAAGAAGGGAAGGTCGTGTCCCGCAGTGGCAAGACCTCCTTCCAAGAAAGCTTGTATATACTTCCCAACTCCCTGTCCAGATCTGGTGTTGGAGTGTTGTGTTATTGCCAGTGCTAGTTTCACCACATTAGATGTGCACCCACATTAGATATGCACCCACAAAATCCATTGCTATTAAATCCATTGCTATGTCCTTGTTCCAAGTTGCTTTTCAGTAGTCAGCTCGACCCAAATGCGGGCTTGACTCTCGCCGGAACACTTACTGAGAATTCAGTGGCTAGTGGTGTCTTTCAAAGTAGGGGCTTTCCTTCCCTTCAAAGCTTTCCAGAGGATCCTAGGCCTCGTGGCAGCCGCATCCTCTGTGATACCATTGGGGCTGCCCCATATCCGGCCCCTGCAGTACTAGCTAAAAGCCCATTTCCTCTCCCACGCCTGGCATCTGGGATGCTTTCACCTCAAGGTGGACCATCGCTGTGTCTCAGCTGTAGTCCCTTGGAAGGTTGCTTGCCTGTATGAGACAGGCATCCAATTGGGACTGACCTCCAGAAGGAAGGTTGCTACAACAGATGCCTTCAACTCTGTGGGGAGCTCTGTGCAAGTGCAGACCGCCATTCGGCTCCTGGTCCATGAAGGTAGCAATACTGTAGCTGAGGCCATTACTCTGTTAGCTCTCCCCTCCTTGGAGGACAAGCAGGGAGCTAACTTATTTTGGCCGGTGCAGGCCTTCAGGACTTAATATGGAGTGCTTTCGCCAATTGTGGCAGTCAGAGCAGAGCAATGTGTGCTTCCGAGGCCGCTCTAGAGGGATGCTAGTTACGAAGCAGAGATTATGCCGCTGGATAGTTGATGTGATAGCCCTGGCTTACGCCTCAGTGGGATCTGAGTGTCCTATTGGAATGAAAGCCCACTCCACTAGGGGGATGGCCTCCTCCTGGGCTCAGTCCAGCAGAGTTTCCATTGGGGATATTTGCGAAGCAGCTGGCTGGTCGTCATCGCTGTCTACCTTTGCTAGGTTTTATAACCTCGACGTCCCTGTCCTTCAGGCATGGATCTCGTCCACTTAATTGTCTTGCATCCCTAGTGAGTGGTCTAGACTGTTTTGAATGAGTGCTCCGACTGGTGGCCTGAGTCTCACTAGTTAGCCTATGTTTCTTAGGGCCCTCATGGTAGTGCCCTTGGGCTGGGCTCCGTTCTGCGCTTATTGCATGGCGCTATGGTATATCATTCCCCAAGCATGATTACACGCAACATGAGAGACCGTTTCGACAAGGAATGCTGCAGTTACTGACGTAACCTTTGTTCCTTGAGATAACGGGCGAGCATTGGGTGACATGCAGTGCTAAACAGCTGCACGCTAGCTGACGCTGACGCTGACGCTTCTCAGTCAAAAGATTCTGACAAAATGGCATTCAGTGCCCAACTTACATAGGATGTCGGCTCTGCACATTTTGGCAGGATGAAATGCTATAGGTTTGTGCAGCTGCACAAACGTTAACAAATCACGCTTCAGTATTCGGAGGAAAACAGTTTTCCCCAAGAGTGAGTCCTCATTCCCATTATCTCAGGGAACCAGGTTTATGTTAGTAACCGGAGAGTTTTCCATGATATGCCATATTAAAGGTGCTGTATGTAATTTTTGGACTGTACAAAAGCATAAAACACTATGCTTGCAGCTATTAAGGAAACATGCCAAGTTTACATACTTGTATTCTAACTTGAAATGTGTGTTCCGTGTCAGAATGCCTGTTTTTGTTTTGGTCTGTGTGACCCCACCCACTGCTAATTTACCAAATATTATTTCAACACCCCGGGTTGCCAGTTGCTGGAAAACACAGCATTTTGCAGCCATGGAAGCAAGCAAATGAGCTGGAGCTGATTCTACCTGACCTAAATGCCTTGGCATCCATCTACAAAACTCCATGAACAGAGGAATATTAAAACGCAGATAAATCAACTCACCAACTAACAGTGTAATTGTTAATCGTGCTTCTTCCTGTTGCTTGTCCTCAATCTGGCAACCTGTGTGAGCGAGGTTGAGAAACAACTCTTTCCAATATTTTGAATTTGGACTGCAATACTCATTTCAACCACTAGCTGTCAATATTACATACTGCACCTTTATAGAAACACTACAATGGGAAAAGATGCTGATATGTAGGAGGTTGCTGGTTCAGGTTGAATAGATACTGATTGAGATTATTTTCTGGTACAGGATGTGTCCCAGGATGACATTCCCATCATGCTTGTGGGGAACAAGACAGATCTGAGGAAGGAAGCTCTTCTGGATGGAGTAACTTGTATTCCAACCAGCTACGGAGAAAAACTGGCCATGGTTAGTGCCCAGGCATTATTCACTGTTATTTACTTTTGCTTTCTGTTTGTTTGGTTGATTTTTTGTTTGTTTGTTTGTTTTTTGGTGGGATTATTTACCAAGAATGTTTAATTTACAATATATAATTATAATTATAAATATAATATATAATCATAATTTACTCACCCTCATGCAAACTGCAGTTTTCCATGAACAAAGACTGAAGCACTGAAGCTTCAAAAAGGCTTTAGAAGACCATTTGAATTTAACCTTCAGTTATCCAAAACATTGCCACCTGCACATGAAAGAACATGACCTCATACAGTCTTGGTTAGTCAGAGAGTGTTTTTTTGTTAGTATACGGGCTAAACTGTGGCTGCTGTCTGTGTTCAGACATACAGTGCCTTATTCTGTGAGACGAGTGCAAAGGATGGATCCAACATAATTGAGGCTGTTCTTCATTTAGCCCGGTAAGCTCTGCTCCCAGTTCAAAAAGAAAACACATTCTGTTTAAAATCTGGTTTACATGTTAATCAACATCTGATTTGCAAAAATAATATCGAAATAGACCAAATAGGCTGAGAAGATTTTTGCAAAAAATTCACAATGTGATCAAAACACCAAGTATAAAATAAATAAATCTATATTTTTCCCAAAAAAACTTTTTAAATTAAATTTTATTTTTTTGTTTGTTTTAATTTCATGACAGTAATTTAATTTGACTGAATTAAAAAAAAAAATTGTAAAGCAGTGATGCAATTCATATAATAAAATACAAGCAAAATATCAAAATATTACTTTGGATATATTCTTGATAGCAGGTTTCATGAGATTCAGCGATAAAGAGCTTTCAGATGAACTGACTGTACAGCATCGTTTGTAATATTAAGATCAAGCACAAGAGAGCAGCAGTTTTATTGAGTTTCCGCCTTCAGTTCACATGCGAAAACTTGGCATTTACCTTAGGCTGTTCAATTAAAATAATGTTTAAAATAATTTTATTTTCATAATCTTTGGAAGCCAAAATTGGAATTGAAAATAAAATGTGATTAATTGCCCTGCCCTACTGTTACCAAATTCCCAGCATTATACTTACATATTAGCCTAATATTACATTTGAAACTCAACACTGTGAATACTGGTGAAGGTGTCACATGTTGAATGTTTTGTCTGTCCTGCACTTTAGAGAGGTGACGAAGCACGCTGATGAGTACAAGGAGCCCGTATCAGTGGCCAAACTGTCTGGAAATCACAGCAAAAAGATGTCCAACCCTAACTGCTGCATGGGCTGATGAGTGTTGACGTCACATGACCACGCAAGGCTTAACACACAGCCAAATATTAACCATTCATCTATTTATTTGGGAAATACCATTTAGCGATTATCTGAGTCATTCATTTGAGTGTGCGAAGTCTCTGATTTTGTATTTTTAAATGATGAGTCACTTGTTGAAGCAGATCACCGTGTGTCATACGTTGCTTTTAACAGCCCTCAATTTAACAGCTTCTGTATTACAGCCGATTAGTAGTAGCATATGTAGTGAACAGACACTCGGGCTTACAGAGATCTGTATGCTGCATTTTGCCTTTATTTATTACATCAAATCTTCCTTTAGCTTAGTGAAAAGGAATAATAGTTCTGTAATGTGTTACAGGAACATTGAAGTGTGTGTGTGTGTGTGTGGTGTGTGAAAGTTGATGGAAATAATGTGAAAAGTTTGTCAGGTAGAATGAAATACTCTAAGAAGTGGAACTTTATGCATTTTTGGAAGAAACAAAAGTTTGTTAAAGGGGTCATATGATGCGATTTCAAGTTGTCCTTTCTCTTTGGAGTGTTACAAGCTGATTGTGCATAGATAAGATCCCTGAAGTTGCAAAGACTAAAGTCTCAAAACCAAAGAGATATTCTTTATCAAAGTTAAGACTCTGCGCTCTACGCCCCCCTAAAACACCTCGTTCTAACACGCCCCCACATATCTATGTCACTATGTGGAAATATTTGCGTAATTCTGCTCAAATGTGCACGCAAAGAAAGAAGGCGTGGTTTCAGTAACCGCAGTTAGTGTTGAAGCAGCATGTCAGGGAGACGCTGTGTGTTTCTAGGCGAAAGCAAAAGCACTTTATTTGGGCTTCCGAAAGTAGATGCATTTAGGAATCTTTAAGATTACTTACAACAGAACAGCAATGCGTTTTATGGACGACCGTTTCGTGAAGCTAGGAGAGGAGGTAATTCTGACTTTGCTATGACAATCTGGCGCTTCTGAATCAGCTACTGTAAGTATGTTTTGTTATTAGTTTAAGTATTTGTGTGTGAGCGAGCGAGAGAGAGAGAGAGTCAGTGGAGTCAGCTGTCTTAACCGTGGCTTGTGGACTGCAAACACATACCAGCTTCATCACTGTGTCTGTCACGTGACTCTGTTCCCCTTTCGGGCTTGAACTGATGGTAAAACTAATGACATTATTTACTGTCTTTACATTTATTTTGAAAGATGAAGCTCGTGATTATGGTAAGGGGCGTTACGTTTCCGACGAGTGCTTGCGGCGTTCGGCCAATCACAATGTACTGGGTCAGCTGGCCAATCAGAGCAGACTGCACTTGTCGGAAGGAGGGACTTTGTAGAAAACGAAGCGTTTGAGAGAGACGGGGCATAGAGGACCTACAATAATGTACAGTATTTGAAAAATAATGTGTTTTTTGAACATTAAAGCATGTCAACATATTCTGTTACACCAAATACACAAAATAATGATCTTTAAAAAAGAATCATATGACCCCTTTAAATGAGAACTGGAAGTTGGAGCTTGATCCAAAGCATTTCTTTTTAGCTTGTAGCTTTATATATAAAATGATATATATATATAAAAAAGAAAAACTAATATATATTTTTGCTCAACGCTGAAAACGTCACAACTGAAACAACACATTTTAAAACAGATTGACAAGCTTTTGTGGATATTATCATTGCGTTATGCATTTCACAACAGCACTGTTGGCTTTTAATGCTCACTACATATGTAATGTTATATTCTGTAATAAACAGTGCACACTTTTTTACAATAAAATATTTTCTTGCAGGAAAACATTTGTTAAATCACAGTTATATGAATGACATGTCAGTAACATAGTTTTTCATGTTTTCATTTCAAGCTCATTTCACTGTTATCAGAAATGTTTCATTTAAGAATGTTGGTTGCAATTTCAAATCTTAAGCAAAAATAAAGATTGCAATGTTTTCACTCCAGTTTTATTGTGGCAGTACTAACATATAAAACAATTCTTTTTTTTTTGTTTTAACATATAAACAATCAAAAATCATTTTACAAATTGAATAAGGCGATTCCCAGTGAATCTGGGAACTGATTATTTTTTGAATACTCCCAGAGTTGTATTTTGAAATTAAATGACAGACTGTTTTAAACTGAAACGTTTATAATGCTGCTAAACATGCGAACAAAACACAATTCACATATGCAGTGAAATCACCAAATACTCAAAAAGATCTCAAGCCTCTAAAGAAAAAAACAACAACAACGTACAAGCATTTTCCAGATGTTCAGTTAATTTGCATATTTTCTTTTTTTATTATATAATTATCAGTTTTTAAAGGGCAATAGGTGGTTTTCATGTTTAACCATATTATGTAAGAAACATCTAGGGATTTTTTGACACAAAACGCTAATTAAGATCTCAAAGTAAATGACAAGAATTGGTGAATGTTGCGTTTTTTTGTGTGTTTCTTCCCTAAATAGACAATTGGTTTTAATCACAGCATATACAATTGTCAACTCTAAACTGTTATCCTTTTCCAGGTCATATTTCATCCTGAAAACACAATACACTATATTTTACATTATTTATAAGTCCATGAAGATTTTTCTTTCTTTCATTGTGACATTATTGTCATGATAATTAAGGACATTTCCCTCCTAAATCCTCATTACTGTAATGCATCCGGATGTTTTCATTTGAGCTTCTCATTATTCTCAATGGTGATTCTCATTATACTGACGTTACTGTAATGAGAGCAATCAAAAACGTTCCGCCCGCAAACAATGTTTTTGTTTTGAATCAGAAACACTGCGAAGATGTAGAAATACTACACAATTTATTTGTACTTTTCACAATATATTCAATTAGCCTAATTTTCTTAATGCTAATAATGTATATCAATATTTAGCAAAACATTTTATTTTATTTTTTTTAATTTTGGGGTACATTATGACGTTCTTTACAGGCTCTGTAAGAATTCACATTTGAAAACATGACAATTGTGTGGTTCAGTCAGCAAATTCTGGGATCAAAAAAAAGCTTAAAATAAGTCTTTTGAATTTCCATTTCTATCAGTGTTCAGTTTTGTATGTTTGTAGGCAAATACAATCACAATTCTACCAAACATATAACAAAGGACTCAGTTAAATTAATCTTGGTGTCCCATCATGCAACAGAATAGCAAGGCTACAAAAACAATAAACACAAATTCCAGTGCATGACATTTCTGAATGCTAAATGAAATATGTTCACCCTCTGGCCAATTAAAATGAGTTTGGACATCTATATTTTGCCACACTACGATATATGATAAGAGATGTTCAGGTTAATGGGCAAATTCAATCAACCTGCCATAAAACGAATGACGATCAGCTCTGGCTTCCTCTAGCAGACTGATTGAAAGTGGCCACTTCTTCTCTGCTTTCATTGGTCATGATAACACACATTAAAGCACAAAGCATGACTATCTATTATTTACATTTTATGTATCTATTAAGTGACGATTTTATGATCATGAGAACCACGACGTTGACAGCAGCATCAGAACAAAGCATCAATGGTGTATTTCTATTACTGGCTGCTCGATGAATCTATCAATAAATATGACTCAACCCTGAGCTGAAAGTCCAGAGAAACCTGAACGCAACACAATAGAATAAAGCTTTCATGTCCTTTTCATAGTCCTATGATCATATACAAATAAGACTTGGATGAGCTAGCTGAATACACAAGGTCAGACACGTGAGAGATGAGAAGGATGTTTTCTTTTCACAGTATTTACAGATGTTATACATGCAGAAGTGTGGAACTCAAAGAGACCTAGTCTGTGCTTTTCTTTCAGTTGATGTGGATGTTTTCACTACCGGAGAAAAGTTTGGACACACTTTTCTGTTAATAATCATAATTAATTAGTCATTCAAACTATGAAAGAACGCAAATGGAAGTGTAGGAATTACGTAGTGACCGACTAACATGGCATTAAATAAAAACAAATCCAATTTAAATCAAATTAAAATGTTCTGTTACTGTTGGCTCCGACTTAAAATTGTACAGAGCATTTATCCATAAGACATTAGATAAAAATTAAATTGTTTAAAACTAATAAAATATGACATCCCACTTTAAGTGTTGCTAACTACTACATACTTTAAATAAGTAATAAATCAATTATTGATTTACAAATGTACTTATTGTGTTCATGTTGTTTAGCAAAAAAACGTTGTAATTATAGATATAATTACAGAAAATAATTATATGTGTAATTATATGCAGGTCTTTTTTAAATAAAAGTGCAATGTAAAAACATGTATGTGTAAAATAAGTGCATTTTATTACATGCCTAAATAAATGTTTAATACATCGTAGTTAAAGAAACAATATAAACCCATAAGTAATTAATTAATAAGTTAATTGTTTGGAGGGGGATGTTAAATATTAATACCAATGAAATATCAGTATGAATTAATGTTAATACATCTATATGAATTTATGTTAATTACATTTACACACAAATTAAAATGAACAATTTATGACAAATCGTGACATAAATTCAGTTAGTATCCAAGTTTTTGACTGGTAGTAGATAAAGTATGATCTTTAAAAAAAATGTATTCATGATATATCAGAAAAAGATCTATTAATTTACATGGATGAATACTGATTGAATCACAAGTGTATGCAGTATGCTTCTGATTTGATGATGCACATGTTGTAATGGTGAATAAATATGAGTCTGTATGAATATCAACCACATGAGCCACAAATAACATACAATAGCAATCAAATATTTACTTTGTGGTAACGTATCTATATAAATGCCTGTATGCTAATATGCATATTTGTTTTGTTTTATTTTTTTATCAGAAAATAAAGATCCTTCAGTTTTTGACATTCGTTCCTGAGAGCGCCACCTGCTGTTACACAGTAAATATCAGTGATCTGGGATTATGTTGAACTGGATTCAAACAACAACTCTGTTGAGCGTGATGCATTGACAGAAATGTGTCACTAGCCCTTTTGCAATCACCTCAGCAACAGATGTGACTTCACATCAGATTTGCATCACAAGTAGCCTTGTTAATTTGATTAGTTAATGTGCTGCGCTGTGAGCCGGCCAGTCCGGAAGACATCAGTCTCATCCTGGACCTCTGAAGGAAACGCAAATGTAATCAGGTCATGTACTAGCTTTGATTTAATTAAATGCATAAAAAGTGTAAATGGAGCAAGTCTTCACAGGTTCTTCAGGTTTGGCATTATGCAAAACGCCAGTGTTGCAAATGCAGTATGGTAGTACAAGGCCCTGCATGGGCATATAACTAAAAAAACAAAAACAAAAAACATAATATCCAAAGAGAAATTAAACCGGGACAAAAACACATTTCATGATCCAATCAATTCAATCAAAAAAAATCGAAATAATAAATAAATAAAGGTATTTATAACTTGCAATTCAGAGTTTTTTTTCTCAGAATTTGTCATTTACATTTTGCAATTGTATTGTATTTTTTTCCACCAACAAATAAAAATAATGAAAAAGGCAATTCTGACTTCTCACAATTGCTAGTTTATATCTCACAATTCAGACTCCTTTCCACAAATTTGTGAGTTTATATCTCACAATTCAGGCTATTTTCCTGAAATTTGTGAGTTTATATCTCACAATTTAGCCCCTTTTCCTCAAATTTGTTTATATCTCACCATTCAGACTCTTTTACTCAAATTTGTCAGTTTATATCTCACAATTCAGGCTATTTTTCTGAAATTTGCGGGTTTATATCTCGCAATTCAGACTCTTTCCTCAAATTTTCAAGTTTATATCTCACAATGCAGACTCTTTCCTCAAATTTGTGAGTTTATATCTCACAATTTAGCCTCTTTTACTGAAATTTGTGTTTATATCTCACCATTCAGACTTTTTTCATCAAATTTGTCAGTTTATATCTCACAATTCAGGCTATTTTCATGAAATTTGCGGGTTTATATCTCACAATTCAGACTCTTTCCTCAAATTTTCAAGTTTATATCTCACAATTTAGACTCTTTCCTCAAATTTGCGGGTTTATATCTCACAATTTAGCCTCTTTTACTCAAATTTGTGTTTATATCTCACCATTCAGACTCTTTTCATCAAATTTGTTTATATCTCACCATTCAGACTCTTTTACTCAAATTTGTCAGTTTATATCTCCCAATTCAGACTCTTTTCCTCAAATTTGCAGGTTTATAATCACAATTCAGACACTTTTCCTCAAATTTGCTGGTTTATATCTCACAATTCAGACTCTTTCCTCAAATTTGCGAGTTTATATCACAGACTCTTTTCCTCAAATTTGCAAGTTTATAGCTCACAATTTAGACACTTTTCCTTAAATTGTCAAGCATGTATCTTGTAATTAAGACATTAAAATGAAGTCAGAATTATGAAATATGAACTCAGAATTCTGAGAAAAAAAAGGTAAAAAGTTGCAATTACCCTTTTATTCATTTTATCCTGTGGCGGAAACAAGCTTCCATACAAAACAGCCTGCATTACCAATAAATAATAATAATAAAATAAAAAACCTATAAAGAAAAGCAAATGTGCAAATGAAATGTAGTTTTCCATTGACAGCTTTTTTGGGTCAAATGGACATAGTTTGTAAACTAAATTTTATTAGCTGCACTTTCATTGTTTGAATACGTTCAATCATTTGACTTCCACAAAATGATATTTACACAACACATGTTTTTTTTTTATATGTGAAATATTTGGATTTGTGGCGGTTTCATGCATCTTTTTTATATATTTTGTGTTTATGTACTGTATGTTTTGTGATTGCAGTGATCAGTTAAGAGCCTCTCAAATGTACTAGCAACCTGCTATTACATCTGCTCATGACATCTGAAAATCTGAAAAAGAAAAAAAAATTGTATACTTTGTGCTATTCTATATAAAAAACACAGCACAGCATTTTAAGGTAAATTGTTGGTGATAATAAAAATATTTCACTTCTATACCACCTACTTTTAGTGTAAATCAGTTTAAATAACATAACTTAAGCTTTTTTGCTGAAAAATATAAGTAACTGTAAGCGTCACATAAAAATGTATAAAATTTTAAAAACAGATATTAGGTTTTAGCATGTATAGCTTGCCCTCTCTCTCATATCTGTGTGTGTTGCTCTGCGAGAGGCAAAGATTTATTCCAATACAGTGTTGTGAGGTCAGAATCTGCTTGTCTTAATAGCTGTAATTTGATTTTTAAGAAAATAAGTCTTGATTTAGAGATGCGGGTCTGAGCTCATTACCTGTCTGTGCCTCTTCTACATTTGACGTGCATTATTTGTGTTGTTATGGAGGTTGACTGAGTCAAAGATATCGAATCATTTGAAATGGACACTTCATATGTGTTTATACAGGATTTCACACTCAAACCAGCATCAGGGTCCACAATTAACTTTGGCAAGCATCAAATGTAAATGAAAATGGGCTTTGGTGGATAAGTAAACAGTTTTACAGGCCAGTTAACCTAACTCGTTTAAACAGTGACCCTCGCTGATTATAAGTAAATCAAATCAAAGAGATATCGTACATATAGTCTACAAAAGAAAAAATTCTTTGATGTCACAAATTAAGCTAGGAGGCCATGTGGCATAACATTTCTGCTGTTTAACCAGCAAAACAGAAATATGAGAAACAAAGTCATAGAGTCAATTTAAAAGAGTCGACTCTAGTAAAAGAACTGATTCTTTTTTTTGTAAAAACATCGATTCCATCAACTCCTATGGCTGTAATTTCATCTATTTGATCAGAAATACAGTAAAAACAGCAATACTGTGAAATTTTATCACAATTTACAGAAGCTGAAGCTATTTTCCATTTGAATATGTTTTAAAATGTCATTTATTCCTGTGATCAAAGCTGAATTTTCAGCATCCTTACTCATTCACGTGATCCTTCAGAAATAATTCAAATATGCTGATTTGCTGTTCAGTCATTTATTATTATTATTACTATTAATTTTGAAAACAGTTGTGCTGCTTTTTTTTAGAAACCAATACATTTTTAGGATTCTTTGAAGTATAGAAAGTTCAAAAGAACAGTGTTTATATGAAACAGAAATCTTTTGTAATATAATAAATGTCTTAACTCTTACTTTTGATGAATTTAATGCACCCTTACTGAATAAAAGTATTGATTTCTTTTTTTTTTAAAAGGACTGTATATAGAGAGAAAGGGGGCTTATTAATAGTCACAGGAATCAAAACAAAACAAAGAAAAACCTGTAAAATAAATTAAAATAAAATCTTTTATGTCCAGAAAATTCACTCACCATTGAAATGTAGGACAAGAAGTTAATTTTGGACCCTGACTGACACTCTTTTTCAAGTTTATGACAACAGGCAGATGAAATGAATGAAGATATTGAAAAAGCATACATATCCGTCATCGTTGTTGAAATGTATGATGTTCCAGTGCATTTCTACCAAAGCTGTGCATGTCATACAGCTTTAATGAACCCTTTAAAGGCCCATGCTGCTGTCCGCTGTCTAACGCTATGGCTTAAACACTAGACAACTACAGCGCAAGCGCTAGGAAACTGCCTCCATTACTGCTACGAGATCTGCAAAAGATGTGAATGAATAAATCATGTGATGTAGGAGAGCAAACCTGTCCCTGTCCTGTCCATTATATTCCCGCCCCCCATTCCCTGTATTTCCCGCTGAGCCTCAGTCGCCCCAGAGCTGCTCTGTCATGAGTTCCAGTTTGCAGAGGATCCAGCGGCGCAGGGGGCAGTAGTACTCGTAGTGGAACTGCTCAAACTCGGGCGTCTGCCGGATGTCATGCAAGAACGAGATGTCCAGGTCTGACTCCAGCAGCACGAGCAGGAGGGGAAGCAGAATCATGAGGAGACCCGTGGCCATCACCACCAGACGGGCGGCACTGCGCAGACACGCCTGCATCTGCTGCCGTCCACTTGACGGGCTGCACAGCGACTGACGAAACGCTTCTCTGGCCACTTCCCTCTCCCTCTCGGCCTGGAGCTCCAGCTGCATCTCTGGGTCAGCGTGCAGCTCCTTCAGCAGGCGCGCGGGACTCTGGAACAGCAGGTCTAGGCCGCCCTGGCTCTCCTCCACCGGCGTGGGCACCATGCTGGCACACGGGCTGTACGCTGTGTCAGATATGGTGAGAGCCGCGCACGCTTCATCTTCATGGTCTACGTGTATCTCTCTCCTTTCCTCATCCGCTCTCGTCCTGCTGGCTGCCTCGTCTTCGCGTCTGTCCTGAACGTGGTTTTCCCTCTCCTCCATCTCCGCCTCCTCAGGAGTGACCGATGGTTTCAGTGGGGACAGATGTACCGAGTCTTTCAAAGCCGAGAGTCCTGCGGAGTGAACAACTGGTTGTGTTAATCACTGAAAGTTCACCCTTAAAGGGACAGTTCACCCAAAAATCATTAAATCAGAAGATATTTATTCAGTTGCTGGTCCACACTGACTTCCATAGAATGGAAAAATACTATGGAAGTCAATGGGGACCATTAAGTGTTTGGTCACACACACTCTTTAAAATACCTTCTGAGTAAATGATGACAGAATTTTCTTTTCTTTTTTTTTGGGGGGTGAACTGTCCCTTTAAGATTCATTTTTCATGGACATTTCAACATTTCCTGAAGAACACATTGGTCATTATCAGGAAACACTGTTGACTTGAATGTAGTAATAGTATATCTGATAGATTTGTAACTCTTTTATGTGTTGAAAGCAAAAAATAAATAAATATTTCATATTCTTTTTCCAAATCTATATAGGGGCCATTCCACAGAATGGGTGCCATTTCTGTCCCAAGGACATTATAGGTACAAACATGCATAAAAATTAACTATAAAACACATTTTATTATTAATCAAAGTGTCCTGCACATTAATCTAACTGCAAATTTAAAATATGTAATTAAAAAAATATTAAAAACTATCTAATACACAGAAAACATAGCATTTGTACATGTCATAAAATACACATTTTAGTCGTGTCCCCAGGTTTTCACTCAGTCCTGTTACGCTAACACATTCCCCCCTCTAAAAACTGAGGAAATTCCACAAGACACATTTTCCACATAATATTGCAACATCTGGATCTTCTGAAGGCAAAGAAATGATCGAAAGCATGTGGCCTTATTTTCTTTTCTGTATATTTGATGATATTGTAACGGTGGCTGGGAGCGTAATTATAAATATACTATCCTGTTACCTAAATTATTTCTTAGATGTTACTTTATTTTTAAAATACAAATCTTTGGTGAATCACTATAATTTGCTGAGTATTCTCATAATATTAGCATGTACTCCATGTGGCTAGATTATACGTCTTTGCTAATTTTATCCTAAAATCTCAATCCTGTTACTTTCAGTCCTGTTACTCATATACTCATATATCCTATACTTACATATAGTAACTGAGTAATAGTAACAGGAGTGAGTAGTGTCATCAGATTTATTAACGTAAATATTAGGCTACATCCATATTAATCTAGATAAATTAGAAAGTGCATCTTTTTCTCAACATTTTGGCCTTCTATCCACACTGAGACAATGCTTTTGCCCAGAGAAAACCTATGGTTGTTCCTGCATTGCTGTTTTCTATTACATTGCTCCTGCAAGTATGACAGAAAATGTACTTGAAATTTCTGTCCTGTGGCAATTACGTATTAGACTCATATATGGAGTGGCGTTTGAGTGTGAGCTGCGCTATAATATATTATTGGTTAAGCTTATTATTTTTAATATTAATTTTAATTTAATATTTATAATTTTTTCATTATTTATATATTATCTTATAACCCGTCTTCTACCATTAAAACATAACCCTAACAAAAACCTCTGCAGACCACTAGATTTAAATAGAAACAAGCAGTGAGGTCAGCTCACTAGTCAATGTTCAACACTTTCACTATACCTCACATGTGTAGTCAAACCTGTATACTAATATAATGGATACTCCTTCCTGTAACCCATTTCATTCCTGTTACTAAATGGTTTTTTCTTTAAAAATCAAGTTAAACCACTTTTTATTTTTTATTAAGTTTGGTCCATAATTTATCCCATTGTTTAATAAATTGCATCATAGAAAATTGATAAGCTTGAGGTTTGAGTCGCCTTTAAAATGAAAAAAAAAAAAAATGGGGTTGTGTACTTTAGAACAATACACCTTGTGTATATAAATAGTTATCTTTTTTTTACCATGAAACCAACAATTTCTTTCAAATAAACACCTGCCTGAGGGGGAAATGAAGGAATTTCTTGACATATTTTTAAACATGCTTTTTAAAAGACATTAGAGTTTTGGTAACAGGACTGAGAAAAATGTATCCATCTTCCACTTAAAAATTACAAGCAAATTGTACTCTGTTACTGATGCCAAATTACATGACAAAAATAGTTGTCAGTAACATAATCCATGACATTACACATTTTAGGAAATATAATCAGACTACTTTTAGATTACTTTTGACATTTATCACATTGATATAAACAGGATAATCTTGTATCATATTGATATAAAAATACAAAGAGAAAGAAAATATATGACATTTTTTATTATTAATAACATGAAGTGCATGAAACATTACAAAACTGGGGTATGTGAAGGAACTGCAGGGGGTTTGTTTAAATTCATGGTTATGCATAATTTATTGTTATTGTATAAATAATATGTAATCAATAAAAAAGTAACTGTAGTCTGATTAAGAGTTTTTTTAAATGTAATATAATCTAATTACAAGTACTGAATCCAGATTACATGTAATCAGTTACTACCCAGCACTGTAAACCACCCAAACCAGTACACACACACAATACTATAATAACACTAATAGAACGAATTATAATTATTAGTAATACTAATACTAAGAAGGATATTAATACTAATAACAAGAATAATAATGCTTAGTAATATTAATATTAATACCAATACTAAGAATAATAATGTTATAGTCAGGGCCGTTTCTAGCCATTTTGATGCCCTAGGTGATATCCTTATTGCATATATATATTATTATTATTTTTTTTTTTTTCAGACATCAGTTGCTTGTCACATTCAAATTGATTGTCATAGTAACGACACTAATTTGTGGAGATTCAGTGCATTGAGTTCCACAAATCTGAATGCATTATTTGTAAATTGACTGTTAAGATAAACATTTTGCACCATTTAGTATCTGTAATATCATTGTGTTGCCACTAGATGCCTGTATAGCCCTATGTAACAATCCCTAGTGGCATTGACATTGCACATAATTTACACATAAATCGCACATAAATACATTTTGATTTGGATACTATATACTATACTACTACATATTGTTTAGATATTATCAATGGCTACTTTTTTGTCTTTATCTGTTTTTTGTTAAAAAATTTTTGTTGTTGTTTCTTGAAACATTGATTTAAAGTGTCAGTTATTTCAGTATTATTTCAGTCAAACCTATAAAACCCCTTTGTTACCCCAAACTACATGTAAAAGCTTTATCAGTGGCATAAAAGTAACCAATGCAGCTACTTAATCATTTGCTACTCGTTAACGTCTCATTTAAATAACGTGACGCTCTGCCCTCTATGACGCTGCTCCCATTAAGTGCTGTTGGAAGTGAATGAATTGATTCAACATTTCGACACCTCCGTAAGGATGCATTTAACTCGACAAAGCGGTCTAATAAAGGATGTATTGATCTCGTGAATTAGCGAATTTTACTATACAAATATTTTTTAATTGGATGTTAAAGTTTATATGGGAAATAATACATGACACGCTGATCCTTTAACAATGCATTGGCGCAAAAAACGCACACCTTTTGGACAAATCTGTCTGCCTAGCTCGCCTATGCCTAGAAACGGCCCTGGTTATAGTAATACTAAGAATACTAATACTAATATTAATACTGATACTACTAATAATAATGATTTAATTATACTGATACTATGAATACTAATGATTAGTAAGAATATTTGTAATAATATTAATAAGGACATTTTTTGCTTTAAAAACCAGTCAAATTAAATCCCAAAACATTTTGAATATAACTGGTTTGGCACAAAACATTCGTTTTTATTACTATTTTGAATTTGTTTTTACTCTTTATATCTTCATGTTTTCATTTTAATTTTTGTCATTTAATTGTGTGCTTTTGTCATTTGTATTAATTTTTGTTTATTAAAAATGACTATATCGTTTTGTTTCAGTTCATTTTGTATTTATGTTAGTAATGCAACTAGCTGAAATAAAATAATTCATTTCCAGTTAATTTTAGTTAACTTTTATTTCAAGTTATGACATGTTTATATATATATATACAGTATATATATATATATAGTATATATATATATATATATATATATATATATTGCTCTTCTTGTGTATATGTTGTATGTATGTTTAACCAGCAGTTGAGAGGCACAGCTGTAGCCTGTTCTTTGGACAAGTCCGGTCTAAATATAGACCCAGCAGCCTGACTAGTGTGGATTAAGACGAGTCTCCCGGCTAAATTTTCAGTGACGTCGATGCTTCTCCATGCAACTATTCTCTAAAACACAGAGCTCTGCAATGTCCTCTGACCTAACCATCCTCTCATTTCACTGTGACATTTAACATACTGTCAAAAAATAATGCACATCTCTTCAGATAAAAACTGGATTGTTGGATGAAAAGCATTAATTGATTGATCCCTCATTGACAGGATGTACCAGATTTCAAGGCATCAGCACTGACAGCCGCTTAACAGTTCCTGAAATACTAATTGGATAATCATGAGTTATCTATTGAACAGCTTACACAGAAGCACACTTAAGTTAGTAGATGCAGACATATGGGCAAAGAGAAGATGTCACCATAGCGACACATAAAGAGCCATTTAACCCAGGAGGAGGAAACAGTCGTCACTAGCAACAGACCATCATGGCTACCATGGCAACAGTTAGATGCAACAATAACTAAATCTGAGGGAGATTCTCCTGAAGAATGTGAAAGACATAAAAGAAAAAGAAAAGAGAAAAATGCCGTTTGACACAAAAGTTGACATGCCCTCCACTCCGTTTATGTGTCATCAAAGCAAAGTACAAAGAACTAGATTTTTTTTTTCATTTTCTGAATAAAACTTCATTGTGCAACAATCACAACACATTAAATAAAAGATAATGCCTCTGAATGCTTTTATTTGAAACTACAATCTACAACATTTCATTGTATCACCAAATCACTCATATTTACATATCCATTTAAAAAAAAAAAAAAAATTGTAGACATAGTTTGTCTTTTGATTAAAAAAATTGTAAATAAATATATTTAGTCATTATTTCATGTCACATTCACTCAATTTTACTACTTTGACTAATTTTAGTTGCTGAAAATAGCATTTTAGTTGATAAGAATGTGCAAAAAGAATCCAAATATTAAGACATTTATAAATTAATATGTATCGTCATTTAACAAAAATGTAAATCTGTCCTTGTTGTGAAAACCTGACCTCCTGAAATAATAATATAATGACTACACTATTTTACTACAATGTTGTGGTTTAGTAATTCATTTTGTTTCAGTGTTATGGAAAGAACATACTGTAAATGGCTACCGTCAACTGTTACATTCTTCAAAATATCTTCTTTTTTGCTCAACAGAAGAGAGAAATTCATACGGGTTCGAAACGACATGAGGGTGAGTAAATGACAGAATTATCATTTTTGAAAATTAATTATCTTAATGTGTTTATGTAGTGTTTCATTTAGTCAGTTATTTCAATATTGTTAAAGGGGTCATATGATGCGATTTCAAGTTTTCCTTTCTCTTTGGAGTGTTACAAGCTCTTGGTGCATAAAGAAGATCTGTAAAGTTGCAAAGACTAAAGTCTCAAATCCAAAGAGATATTCTTTATCAAAGTTAAGAGTCAACCACGCCTACCTAAAACGGCTCGTTCTAACACGCCCCCACATGTCTATGTCACTGTGTGGGAAGATTTGCATAACGCCGCCCAAATGTTCACGCAAAGAAAGAAGGCGTAACTTTTATTCTCGCTGTAGTATTGTTGCCGCCGCTGCCATGTCGTGAAGGCGCTGTGTGTTTCGTTGTGAAAGCGAAACTACTTTGTTTGGTCTTCCAAAAGAGGATGATATCTGCTTCGTCATGCCTGGAGCTGATCCGTGCTGGTCGCTGAGGAAATACTACAACTTCGCGCTGTGGATCGCCGGATCGGCTTTCACCGTGGACGAAGCGGAGTCCAGCCCAGGGTCGTTACATGTGGTTGCCGCTCCTTCGTCGAATCCGCGGGCCGCGCCATTCTCAAGCCCGCCGCCTCCGCACACTCAAGTCCGCCGTGTGTGATGCTGTGTGTTTCGTTGTGAAAGCGAAACTACTTTGTTTGGTCTTCCAAAAGAGGACACGACTAGAAATCAGTGGTTAAGTTGTATTTACAACACTGTTCCAGAACAGTTCAACCCAAATATTCAGATGTGTGCAGCACATTTTATGGAGGACCGTTTCCTGATCCTGGGAGAGTAGACTACAATGTCAGCTGTTCTGTAGGGCTTGTTGTTTGTCATTTCTCCGATCACAAATGCAGACATGGTTTTATGTTACGCTCCAGCCGGACAGGGCATCACAATATGGTAGGCAGGGGCGTAACATTTCCGTCACACGCTTGAGGTATTCAGCCATACACAACGCACTGGATAGCTGACCAATCAGAGCACTTCTCGCTTTTCAGACCGATGAGCTTTGTAAAAATCGACGCGTTTCAGAAAGGCGGGGTATAGAGAAAAACCAACAATAATGTACAGAAAATGGAAAATAATGTGTTTTTTTAACCTTAAACCGCATAAACACATTTCATTACACCAAATACACAAAATAATGTTCTTTTTAGCAACATCATATGACCCCTTTAAGCTACACCAAGTGGAGTCAAGAGTTTTCTGCTGCCTTATAAGAATAGTTCAACCAAAAACGATTCTCCTGTCATCATTTACTGACGTACTTATTTCTGCAGCACATAAAACATATATTTTGAAGAATGTTGGTACAAAACAATAAAATGGACAAAAATACACATAAGACTTTTTTCAAAACATCAATTTTTTCCCAACTTTGGAATGATATGAGGTAAGTAAAAGATGACAAAATGTTCATTTCGGGATGCATTTTCAGATTGACGTAAAATTGCTATTCAATGAAGAAATGAAGTAGAAATGATCCCGCATCCAGTCCATCTGTACAATCACAATTATCAGATGCAAACATTGGTAAATCATGATTTGGGAAGCTTCCGTACCGGTTCCTGAGATGCGGTCTCCGTGGCTGAGCAGCCGCACGTAGACATCTCGCGCCGTGTAGTTGGCCATGCGCAGCTGCAGGTTGTGACGTGTGGTGATCTTCACCTGACAGCGCATGGCGTCTCCTCGCTCCTCCAAACATTCCTCCAGAACCTCATCTACATCCTTCACCCGCAGACCTTCCTCAGCAACCTTTTCACAACCCACCACACGCTCCCCCTGCTCTCCGAGAACCTCCATATCAACACCTCCCTCTCAATTCACCTCAATCTCACGGCTCCTGCTGGCTCAAACACTGTCACTGGCTTTTCTGGATGGGTTAAGGCTCATAGGATGGGGTCCTTCATTTCACCGGATAGCGGACATGTGAACAAAGTCGGGGCATTAGGGGCCGGATCAGCCCAAATGCAGGATGAGCTATTTATACAGCATCAGTCATAGCTCAAGGCTTTGCTAATCACAGCGGCTGATTATGGTGAAAAGATCCAGTCCGGAGTACAGTACAGCCAGCAGACATCACACGTATCTGGCTTTGAGGCGTCCTGCTGTACACCCAGAACAACCTAAACAACCTAAACTCCTTTTATTATTTTATTAATACTTCATGATCAGATATTAAAGGGATAACAGAGCAGAATAATGTTCCCCTCCACTGGAGCTCAAATCTCGTTTTGCCTTTGTGTTCAGTTAATGGAATACTCTGGGTTTAATACAACTTAAGCTCAGTTGATAGTATTTTAGGCATGATGTTGATTACCACAAACATGTTCAACTTGTCCCTTCTTTTTTAAAAAAAAACAAAAAAAAACAAAGGCAAAACTGAGTTTATAATGAGGTACTTCCATGTGAAAAAGAAGTGCAGTTTAGTACTTGTTACAGAAATAATGTTCTTTAAAATAATATACTTTAGTGAGAACTCAGTTTAAATGGAAATGTATTATAGTTTATTAAATGCAAGTAGTTGAACTCAACAGTGTTTTTTTATACACTTAAGTAGGACTTAAGTAGATTTTAACTGTAAATTTCACAATTTTTTATAGTGTAGTAGTGTTGTCTGTTTTAGCAAGCACGTTGTTTTCAAGCAGGATGAACAGGGAACTTCTGAGAAGGGCCAGTGTGACATTCAGTCTTAAAAAGCTTGTCCTGTCCTCTGGTAACTGGATCTGTGAAGGGCTTAGCATTGATGAACCAGCCTCAGATCTCCTCTCACGGACACCACGGCTTCATCACATGACAAGACCCCTTCATGAAATGCTCTAGTTCACTCCGGATATGCCAGACCAGACAAAAAGTTTTGGTGAGCCTCTGCGAATTGTAGCCTGACTTCTGGCTTCAACAGGGCATTTTTGCCCACAGAACTGCCTTCATTGAATATTTTCTCTTTTTCAGATATTCTCTGTGTAAACTCTTGAGACGGTTGTGCATGTTAATCCCAGTAGATCATCAGTTTCTGAAATACTCAGACCAGCCCATCTGGCACCAACAATCATTCCACATTCAAAGTCACGTAAATCTCCTTTCATTCTGATGCTTGGTTTGAACTTCAGCAGATCATCCTGACCATGTCTACATGTCTAAATGCATTGAGTTGCTGCTGTGATTGGCTGATTACACATTTGCCTTAATGAGCAGTTGAACAGGTGTACCTAATAAAGTGGCCAGGGAGTGCAAAAACAAAATGTTTGACAAAAAACTACATTTATCTGGTGAAAATGTTGGTCCATCATGAGGCATTTCACCTTCTTGTAGAATAAAAACAGTTTGCTGGAATAATAATGTGACTAGAGTCTCGTGAATGGATCATGATCATATTTGTTAGTATTTTTAGATGTACTTTTCATTTGTTTAGGGGTTATAGATCTTTACATGCACTGTTCAGGTGTGTATGTATGCAGGCGTGTTACCGTTGTCTGCGGAGGAGTCTCTGGTTTCCCTGCTGGAGCTCAGTGCTGGTAGAAGAGGCTCCATGTTCATTATCAGCTGTTTATGACTGAGCGAAATAAAGCTTCTGCTTTGACCAAACTGAGACCTGAAACAGCCATAGAAACATACAAAAATGTTAAAACATGAACTTCTGAAGTGAAAGTGAAATCATTTAAAAAGAGTAGTTTTTTACAAAAATAATTTGATGGATGTAGATTTTTGATGTAGACTATGTAGACATAATATCATGTTATAATATTACTATTAAAGGGTTAGTTCACCCAAAAATGAAAATTACCCCATGATTTACTCACCCTCAAGCCATCCTAGGTGTATATAACATTCTTCTTTCAGACGAATACAATCGGCGTTATATTGAATAATTTCCAGGCTATTCCATGCTTTATAATGGGAGTGAATGGTAGCCCAAAATTTGAAGTTGAATAAATTGCACCCATCCATTATAAAAGAAGTCCACATGGCTTCGGGGGGTTAATAAAGGCCTTTTGAAGCGACGCGATGCGTTTATGTAAGAAAAATATCCATATTTACAACTTTATAAACCTTAATCTCTAGCTTCCGCTAACTGTCGTATGTGCGCTCACGAGAGAGTGGTGTCCAGCGTATGACGTAGCACGTAGGCAAACGAGGAGACGAACGCGGAAGTGACGAACGTGGAAGAGCAGAGGAGAGAGCAAAACAAAACACCGGTCACGGATTAGTAGTACAAAACGAGGATTTGTAAAGAAAAATGTCGGAGGATTTCGATATAAGCCAAGAGGACACTGGTTTTCCTTTGCTGTAAACAAAACTTGTTTCTGGCGAGACGAGCATATTCTCACCGGAGCTTACGCTACGCCTTCTTCCTACATAATCCGCTGGACGCCACTCTCTTGTGAACGAGCGTACAGTTAGCGGACGCTATAGATTAAGGTTTATAAAGTTGTAAATATGGATATTTTTCATACACAAACACATCGCGTCACTTCAGAAGGCCTTTATTAACCCCCCGGAGCCGTGTGGACTTCTTTTATAATGGATGGGTGCAATTTCTTCGACTTCGAATTTTGGGCTACCATCCACTCCCATTGTAATTCAAGTTTCAATTCAATTCAAGTTTATTTGTATAGCGCTTTTCACGATACAAATCGTTGCAAAGCAACTTTACAGCAAGTTAAGTTTCTACAATATTTAGCTTATCAGTGGTGACTGTCAGTTAATGTACATATGGCAGAAATGTACGGAAAAATCAATTAAAGACGTAATCAAACAGACGATGAACTCTATTAACAGCAATTATTATATGATGCAATCAAACTTATAGCGAAATTTGGTAGTTATATTATATATATATACTTGGTATATATTTGGTAGTATATATATATATATATATATACATTTCGTGCATGTCTCTTTAAATGCAAATGAGCTGCTGCTCCCCGCCCCCTTTTCTGGAATAGGGCTGTGCCTTAGAGGACACTGGTTTTCCTTTGCTGTAAACAAAACTTGTTTCTGGCGAGACGAGCATATTCTCACCGGAGCTTACGCTACGCCTTCTTCCTACATAATCCGCTGGACGCCACTCTCTTGTGAACGAGCGTACAGTTAGCGGACGCTATAGATTAAGGTTTATAAAGTTGTAAATATGGATATTTTTCATACACAAACACATCGCGTCACTTCAGAAGGCCTTTATTAACCCCCCGGAGCCGTGTGGACTTCTTTTATAATGGATGGGTGCAATTTCTTCGACTTCGAATTTTGGGCTACCATCCACTCCCATTGTAATTCAAGTTTCAATTCAATTCAAGTTTATTTGTATAGCGCTTTTCACGATACAAATCGTTGCAAAGCAACTTTACAGCAAGTTAAGTTTCTACAATATTTAGCTTATCAGTGGTGACTGTCAGTTAATGTACATATGGCAGAAATGTACGGAAAAATCAATTAAAGACGTAATCAAACAGACGATGAACTCTATTAACAGCAATTATTATATGATGCAATCAAACTTATAGCGAAATTTGGTAGTTATAAATCATGGAATAGCCTGGACATTATTTAATATAATGCCAATTGTATTCGTCTGAAAGAAGAATGTCATATACACCTAGGATGGCTTGAGGGTGAGTAAATCATGGGGTTATTTTCATTTTTGGGTGAACTATCCCTTTAACTATTAACTATGACTTTTGCCTCAACAAACTCGTAATTTGCTGGTTATTAATAGTTAGCAAGGTAGTTGTTAAGTTTTGGTATGTGGTCAGATTAAGAGATCTAAAATATAGTCATGTAGAATAAGGCATTAATATTTGCTTTATAAGTACTAATAAACAGCCAATATGCTAGTAATATGCATGCTAGTTATTAGTGAGAATTGGTTCTTAAAGGGCACCTATTATGTCCGTTTTACAAGATGTAACGGTAACACTTTACAATAAGGTTCATTAGTTAAACATTAGTTAATGTATTAACTAACATGAACTAACCATGAGCAATACATTTGTTACTGTATTTACTAATCTACGCTCACGTTAGTTAATAAAAATACAGATGTTCATTGTTAGTTCATGTTAGTTCACAGTGCATTAACTAATGTTAACAAGATTTTAATAATGTATTAGTAAATGTTGAAATTAACATTAACAAAGATTAATAAACGCTGTATAAGTGCAGTTCATTATTAGTTCATGTTAACTAATTTAGTTAACTAATGAACCTTATTGTAAAGTGTTACCGATGTAACTTATGTCTCAGATGTCCCAAGAATGTGTCTGTGAAGTCTCAGCTCAAAACAGCCCCACAGATCATTTATTATATCATTTTGAAAATGCCTATTTTGAGTGGAAGCAGAAACACTCTGTTTTCGTGCATGTCTCTTTAAATGCAAATGAGCTGCTGCTCCCCGCCCCCTTTTCTGGAATAGGGCTGTGCCTTTACAGCTCATACCTCAGACACTTTGTCAAAAAAAATCCATTTGGTTTTGATTATCACGTCTATCATGCTGAAATCATGCGTTTTAAAGCCATATCAGTTTAAACTTCTGCTACACGGTTTTCTGAGCGCACACATCCAAAGCACGCGCACAGAAAGCGGCTGTCACACGGCATGATGTGAGTACTAAACCAAGTTCTCTTTCACACAAGTTTATGTTAAAAACACGCAGAAGTTAGAAAAACACAGTCGGTTATGTCTGTGTATTAAACAGCTGTGAAAGAAATCGCATGTTTATATTAGATCTGTGTATTAAGTGACAGCAGCGTAATATATAGTACCTACACTGCTAAAATAATAACACTGAAATAAAAGTAATACAATAAAAGTGGAAAATCACTCACTGCTCTGCACTGAACAGCTTCTATAGCTGTAATAAGACAGCATGTCTTACTTGAATGCTGCTTTTAAATGCATGCTCTAGCGTGAAGTTAAACATGGCGGATTGTGTGCGGCTCACTGAGGGCGGGGTCTCTGTTATACAGCAGTGTCCGTCAACAGTCGTGGGTGGGGCTTGTAAAATGTGATGCCACACGTTACAGATTCTGTGATCAGTAAGTTCTGAGACACTGATTATGATTTATGGGGATTAAAAAGCAGGTAGATTTTTATCATTATAGGGTGGTTGTGTACACACACTGCCAACACACATTTATGTTCAAACAACAGAATTTTGCATAATAGGTGCCCTTTAAAATAAAGTGTTACTGTCTTTGTTTATATTTAAACAAGTTTCTTTTACTTGCATTCTTTTAGCCCTGATGAAGGTCTGTGTGCTGAAACACGCTGGCAAAATAAAAAAGTATTATTATGCTTGTCAGTTCCACTTTCTGATTATTTTGACTTCTCCATTCCGTAAGTGTTGCTGGTGCCACTTTAAAATACCTTTATTATTTATCATTGTCATTGCATACAGTGGTGTGAAAAAGTGTTGGCCCCCTTCCTGTTTTTTAAATTTTTTGCATATTTGTCACACTTAAACGATTCAGATCATCAAACTAATTTTAATATTACACAAAGATAATGCAAGTAAATACAAAATGCAGTATTTAAATGATTATTTATTTTATTAAGAGAAAAAAGCTGTCCAAACCTGCCTGGCCCTACGTGAAAAAGTAATTGCCCCCTAAATCTAATAACTGGTTGTGCCACGCTTTGCAGCAACAACTGCAATCAAGTGTTTGCGATAACTGGCAATGAGTCTTTCACATCGCTGTGGAGGAATTTTGGCCCACTCTTCTTTGCAGAATTGTTTTAATTCCGCCACACTGGAGGGTTTTTGAGCATGAATGGACTGTTTAAGCATCTCAATCGGATTTAAGTCCAGACTTTGATTTGGCCCCTCCAAAACCTTAATTTAGTTTTTCTTGAGCCATTCATAGGTGGACTTGCTGGTATGTTTGGGATCATTGTCCTGCTGCATAACCTAAGTGCGCTTGAGCTTGAGGTCACAAACTGACGGCCGGACATTCTCCTTCAGGATTTTCTGAAAGAGTGCAGAATTCATGATTCCGTCAATTATGGCAAGTTGTCCAGGTCCTGAAGCTGCAAAGCAGCCCCAGACCATCACACTACCACCACCATGTTTGACTCTTGGTATGAATGTCAACTGTTTTGATTCTCATCTGTTCTTGAGTTTCTTTAGATCACGGCATGATGTGTTGCTATTTAAGCATGCTTCACTTTGTCAGACAGGTTCTATTTAAGTGATTTCTTGATTCAACATGTCTGGCAGTAATCAGGCCTGGGTGTGGCTAGTGAAATTTAACTCAGCTTTCTAAAATAATGTGGTTAATTGCAGTTCTTTCATGATTTAACAGGAGGGGGCAATTAATTTTTCACGTAGGGCCACGTAGGTTTGGACAGCTTTTTTCCCTTAATAAATGAAATCATCATTTAAAAACTGCATTTTGTATTTCCTTGCATTATCTTTGTGTAATATTTAAATTTGTTTGATGATCTGAAACATTAAAGTGTGACAAACATGCAAAAAAATAAGAAATCAAGAAGGGGGCCAACACTTTTTCACACCACTGTATATACATAAGCATCAAAAAACAGAGTCAAAAATAGATAATAAGTGGACCAAAAAAAAAAAGCTAAATGCATATTGTGGCCGTTTTAAACCATATGAACAGCCTGATTTCCACAACCTGAAGTGAGTGAAGTGTGGATTAGACACAGTAGGGTATATATAAATGGAGGCTGACCTGTGTACAACAGGAGGTTCTCTCTGAATCTTTGAACTGGCTTCAATCACTTCTTTAGCCACCCGACCACTGAAATCAAACCAGAAGCAATAATATTAATATCAGCATGTCTGACTTATGGTTTACTTCCACCAGATCACTGCACAATCTCACCTGTAGCGAAATCGGCTTCCCTTGAAAAATATACTGCTGCTGGACACAGTCTTGATCTGACTGGACTTTGCACATCTAAATCAGAAAAAAGCAGTTAACCAAACAGTTGTTTGCATCTACAAAGTTCATATTCAAACTTGTTGCAATTGCATTTTTTATTCTGCTGCCATAAAAGATGTTCTCATTTCTGTTGAATCATTTTTGCTATATTTAAATCAATTCTGCAGCTTTTCTCCTACAGTGTGGCCTGAGCAATAAAAGCAGCTTGTGATTGGCTGATGTGTGTGTGTTAATATGAAGAAAGTGTTGTTGTTTGACAGAGGCAGGCCTGCTGTCTGGCTGGCATTTAGGCTATTAATTAAAGGGCTTTCAACAGTAACATGACACCACTCACACAGAGTAACTAGAGACAGAGAAAGACATCGATGCACTTATATCAGGATCATTCTCAGCAAACCGTGCCATCTGTGTGCTGCGTTTGTCCCCATGACCTCATACTGATATAATTACCAGGATCCACAACTTAGTCACATTATTAGAAAGATGTAAAGATGTATATAACTCTTAGTGTGGAATGCAAAATCCATTTTAAAAATGTATATTTAAAGCTTTCATTGATATATATATATATATTGATATAATCAGAAATTTAACTGAATTTAACAAATTTAACTTTGATGAGTGACATAAAGGTACGTTTGATTGGCTGATGTGTGTGTGTTAATATGAAGAAAGTGTTGTTGTTTGACAGAGGCAGGCCTGCTGTCTGGCTGGCATTTAGGCTATTAATTAAAGGGCTTTCAACAGTAACATGACACCACTCACACAGAGTAACTAGAGACAGAGAAAGACATCGAGGCACTTATATCAGGATCATTCTCAGCAAACCGTGCCATCTGTGTGCTGTGTTTGTCCCCATGACCTCATACTGATATAATTACCAGGATCCACAACTTAGTCACATTATTAGAAAGATGTAAAGATGTATATAACTCTTAGTGTGGAATGCAAAATCCATTTTAAAAATGTATATTTAAAGCTTTCATTGATATATATATATATATTGATATAATCAGAAATTTAACTGAATTTAACAAATTTAACTTTGATGAGTGACATAAAGGTACGTTTGAATTGCATTCTATATTTTATTATGTTTTAGACTTATAATGGCCTCATTGCTGCAGTAGTTCATCAAATTACAGTTTTAATGGAAAATATGACTGTAAAAATACTACCTGTAAATAATGTGGTGTGGTGTACTATATTTGCTGTTATTAGACATTTTTGCACTGATCTTAAACGCCAAAAACTTTTGTATTTAACAAGGTTTTGAAAAAGTTATTTTTATTTATTTAGTTAGTTTTTTCATTTGTAATGTGTATTTAGTTTTTGAGGCACAGAAAAATAAATTGATGTCATCAGAAATTCCACACATGGAATTGTATATCCACACAGATATATCTGAAAATAAATAAATAAGCAAACAATTTTCTGATAATGACCCATATACACTACCGTTCAAATGTTTGCTGTTGGAAAGATTTTTAAATTTTTCTGAACAAAGTATCTTCTGCTCACCAAGGCTGCATTGATTTGACTGTAAAATCTGTAATATTTTGATATATTATTACATTTTAAAATGATTGTTTTAAATTTGAATATGATTCAAAGCTGAATTTTCAGCATCATTACTCCAGTCTTCAGTGTCACATGATCCTTCAGAAATCAGTATAATATGCTGATTTGCTCAAGAAACATTTCTAATTATTTTGAAAACATTTGTGATATTTTTGTCGAGACCATGATTTTTCGGGATACTTTATTGAATAGAAAGTTCAAAAGCACAGTATTTAGATTTTGTAAAACAGTTGCTACATAATATTAAGGATACAATTTTTTTCAAAAGGGTGTCTTCATTTTCAGGCAATTTTATGTTCCAGGGCTGATTTTTATTCAAAAAAATAAATTTCAGCATTTTTAATTGGAACCTTAGAAGCTTTTTCCGATTTTAAAATCCATCACAAATGAATTATTCTCTGTTTACATTTTCCATAATCTAATTGAGTGAAATAACCGATTTAAGGGATTTTACCTCCTAAATATGCTGTTATTGATCAAATGCATTAAATTATTTTTTATTTCTTTAACCAGAATATAGTCCTGACCTTTGCTGACATAATATAAACTAAGGTGCAGTGATATATAGTAATGTTTGGGTTGCAAAGATATTTTATATTTTATATATAATTATATTTTAATATTGTGAAATATTATTACATTATTACATTTTACCATTTTCTATCGTATTATATTTTAAAATGTAATTTATTACTGTGACCAAAGCTGAATTTTTAGCATCATTACTCCAGTCTTTAGTGTCACATGATCCTTCAGATATCATTCTAATATGCTGATTTGCTGCTCAAGAAACATTTATTATTATTGCTTAATATTTTTATTGGAAACCGTGAACCTTTTTTTAGGATTGTTTGATGAACGGAAAATAAAAATAAAAAAAGAACAAGAAACATTTCTAATTATTTTGAAAACATTTGTGATATTTTTGTCGAGACCATGATTTTTCGGGATACTTTATTGAATAGAAAGTTCAAAAGCACAGTATTTAATTTCTAAAAAAATCATACTGACCCCAAACTTTTGAAAGGTACTGCATAAAAAGACCAAAAAAATGCTACTTAGATTTACATTATGAAGAAGAGAGAGAGATAGAGATAGAGATAGAGAGAGAGAGAGAGAGGGAGAGGGAGAGGGAGAGGGAGAGGGATTGCTGCTCAAGAAACATTTATTATTATTGCTTAATATTTTTATTGGAAACCGTGAACCTTTTTTTAGGATTGTTTGATGAACGGAAAATAAAAATAAAAAAAGAACACAGTTCTTCTATATATATATATAACTGTTATATATTTATAATAGTGCTGTAAAACGATTAATCGCATCCAAAATAAAAGTTTTTATTTACATAATATATGTATGTGTGCTGCGTATATTTATTATGTATATATAAATACACACACATGCATGTATATATTTCAGAAGAATATGTTATGTTTATATATTACATATATTTATATATAATATAAATAATATGAATATAAATGTATACATGTATTTTCAAAATATACACTGTATGTGTTTGTATAGAGAGAGAGAGAGAGAGGGAGAGGGAGAGGGAGATAGAGAGAGAGAGGGGGAGAGAGAGAGGGATGAAAGGACACCTCTCACTTGTAAAAAGCTTGGTTTTCCACGGCACATTTCCACAGGTGCTTGCAGGCTGCTGGTGTGGAGGTGTGGAACGTCAGAACCAGTTTCTTCTGCAGATAGATGAAAAGAAAGAATGAAAAATTGAAGTGTGGAACAGCAAAGGTAGATACAATCAACTTAAGTGAACGGGGTGGTCAAAGCGAGTAAGGACATAAAAAATCTATAAATTACACGGAGATGGAATCTGAGCACAATGTCTTAAATAATGAGAGCTGAACAAAATGCTGACCCAAATCTGTGTGCATGTTAGTGAGAGTGAAGGCCGCTGAGTGTGTTTGCGGGCAGCAAGGCGGCTTTACCGGGAACAGAGCAGGGAATATGAGAGTACGGATCAATATAACGTCATAACGGCACAGTCAGTCAACCGGTTAGAGACGCTTTGACTGGAACGAACACTACTGTATGTACACCACACTTATTAACCATCATTTACACTATAGATAGCGTGGGTTTTACAAGGACACACATTAGTGTAATAAATGAGTTAACCATGAGAAGCTGTGCATCCCTGTGATTTGACAAAGATTGTGGATCGTTGTTAGTCACTCACAACAACCTATGATGAAAATCTCAAAAGGCCGATAAAAGTTACATTTATTATGATTAACATTCACAATAAACAATTCTCCTGAGTAATATAGTTAATTAGCCAGTTAATTGAATGTTTACATCAGTTTAATGGTTTGTAAAAACAGTGTATGTGTTTAGGTATTGAATTTCAAAAAGGTGGTTCATCCAAATCTGCAATCAGTTTTGCATTTTATTACTAAGATAACAGATGGTGTTATCCTGGGAATACAACTAGAGGATGTTGTTAAGACCTTTGGATGTGACTATATTCACACACTCTCAAAAAAAAAAAAATATGCTGCAAAATAAATAAAGATACAAAAAAAAAAACATTTGTTTAAATCAGCACAAGTTCAGTTTAACAAACACTAGTTTGCTGCCATAAGATAAATACATACTAAAAATATTTGTTCCAAATTTTATACTTTCAAATATATTATTATTATATAAACATTAATTTCAATAAGAAATAAGAAATAATGAATAACATAATAAAACAATTCATAAAAAATATTTTAATATATTTGATATTTAATATGAATTATTAATAATAAAAAAAACGGGGGCAAAAATCTGCACTGTCCTAAAATGTGGCTTTATTTTCCTTAATCAAAATTTGATTTTTATTTATTTATTTCGGAATTGAATATGATCAAACCATGATCATCACAGGTTTTGTGAGTCTCATTGCTCTTTATACACATTTCTCATTTTATATATATATATAGATTTATTTGTGCTGTCAAAAAATGTATCGCGATTAATCGAATCCAAAATAAAGGTTTTTGTTTACATAATATGTGTGTGTGTGCTGCGTATATTTATTATGTATATATAAATACACACACATGCATGTATATATTTCAGAAGAATATGTTATGTTTATATATTAAATATATATATTTTTAAATATAAATTATATGAATATAAATATAGACGTAAATACATGTAAATATTTTCAAAATATATACTGTATGTGTGTGTATTTATTTATACATAATAAATATACACAGAACACACACGTAGATTATGCAAACAAAAACTTTTATTTTGGATGTGATTAATCGTTTGACAGCACTAATATATAACAATTTAAAGATCTTTACTATCACTCTTGACAATAGTGCACGCAGAATCAAATGAAGAAGTGTTTCCACAATATAAATGTTTGTATATCATGTATTTTATCACCACTCAGGAGGACATGGACTTGTTTATAATGAGTCACATGTTGGATTAATAACCATGCATGAGAGGACGAATGCTACGTCAGCGCTGTAATGAAAATGTATAGTGGATATTGGTTTTCTGCTGGGTCGATATGCATAGGATTCCTGTTGACACGTCTGAGATTACAGTGGGGTGAATGTGCTAAACTGCCAACCGAACTATGTGACAGCCTGAGCCCAGCGAATATATGTGTTGGATCAAACATCCTGGGCTGAAGCGGAGGTGAATATGTAAGTGTTATGCCGATGTGACAGAGATATATATGAGGCCTGATAAAGTGCTATGAAAAACAGATGTGTTAGGAGAATAAATTCCATTAACCCCACGCATCGTGTAATCTAAGACCGGGATCGATAGATGGAGTACTAAACAGAACAGTGAATCCAGAAAGAAATCAATACAAACCACTTCCAGGCCGTTTAGCATCAAACTGCTGCCCCTGCAATATACTGCTGAACGCTCACACTGAGATTACCGTCACATCATTAAAACAAAGCTAAATGTCAGAGCGCTCACCCAACCTATGACAAGAGACGGTCCACTAATCATCTGGGTTTAGGACGGGTATCCCACACTAAACTAACTGGGATAACAAACTGTGGTACACAGAGTGACATCAGGTGGTATGTATAGCACAACCCTAAA